ATTTCTCTGTGATTAAATTATGCTGAAATCTGAATATAACATCTATGATTCAGAAGTGGTCAGGGAGGCTCCACCTACACTGAGTTCCAAACACAGCTCTTGTTTGGTCCACACTAGCTCTGGCTAGCCATTCACCACTTACCCTCACCCCTCCCTAGTCGTTAATCACTCCTGTGCTGTTAACCATGAAATGTATTTATATACTGCATACCCTTTGTTTTTATTCATTTATTTCCAAAGTGTTGCTGTAGTCTCATCATTACTCAGCTGTATGGCCTTATTTCTCAAGGTCCTGGTAGTTCTGTTATCATGCCCTGACTGTGTAGTTTGGTTTCTTTGTTTCTGAGTATGCATTCACCTCATTTGTTTTTGTCAGTTGGTTTGATGAGCCACTGCTTTTGATACTGATATCTTGTGGTAAAGCCCAAGCAAAGCGCTCTCTGGTTACCAGCTAATTCTGGCAGTATTCTGGCAGCTGTGTATTCACTGTAAAATGCATGTATAGTACATTTACACCATGCACACTGAAAACTGTCAAATGCTTGAATGTAAAAGGTTTTGTTTAAAATGCACGGATGTATTTTTCTCTAGCATGTGCCAAGTTTTTTCTTTGCTTTGAGACAGAATGGCACAAAACATGTCTGGAAGAAGATGCTGCAACCACAAAGCTCAAATATAGCCTCTCGCTGGGCTTCATGGAACACACTGACAAAGAGGTACTGGGAAATAGGCATGTTGTTTTGTGGGTATTCTTCCCATACTAGTAGATTTGATCTTTCTCTTCATACATAAATACACCATGCGTGCATATGTGTATGCCTACAGATGTAATTTTCAATTTAAGGAAAATTTTATAAAACTAAAAAAAGTCACTAAAGACTCTGTTAAAGAGTACTTCAACTGATTTAGGCATAATTTAATGGTTGAGATGTAAACAAAGTCATACAGAGTGGTTTAAGTGCATTGTACCTACCGATTCAGATTTCTTTAACCTCTTCAAATCCCAGGCTTATTACATACTAAGGCTTATTATTCAGTAACTACAGGGACGGGCTGAACTATTCTTAGGTTATAAAACTGTGGGCCCTTGCCATCTGAGAGGTTAAAGTGGTGATTGGAACAAATATAAATATAGCCATTTTATTTACGATCCAAAATGACCAGTGAACCCAGACATGTCTTCTGAGTTTCAGATGATGATTAAATAGTGGTAAATCTGGAGAAAACATATTTTCTTTGGGGACAATTTTGCCTTATAATGCCCTGCATATACATCTCTGCCATCAATGAATTTTAAAAATATGTTACAGGCCAAAACCTTATTTTAATACTATCATAAAACAATTTCTCAGTCAACAGGCCGAGTATTCATAACCATTTCTGTGAGGTAGCCTTTAAAGCTGGGGTGCCAAACTCACCACTAAAAGGGCCATATTAAAAATCTCAACAAATCCGTGGACCAGAGATTCCCTATGTTTTATTTCATTTTTAATTAACATTAATTAACTATAAACCAAAATGACCACTGTTTATTCACAATACGCAAAAACTTTAACAGTAAAATATACTGTAGTAGACTATGAAATATTACATGATTACTTGACATATTCAAAATTAAAATGTCCCTAGGAGATAGTTCTTCTAAACCTACCTATCTGCATAAACTAGACACCTGGCATCTTTTCTTTGCTGCAAGTTTGTTAATACGTGGGCTCAATTTCTGAGCTGCTAAGCTAACGTTAAGTGTTTATATTGGCTGAACTGTGGTTAGTGTGTTTGGTGATACAACTGATGTGACACTGTGTATAACTGAGGTGTAACCACTGTCCCATTATTGTTGTTGAGGTAGGAGAGTTGGAGCGCACATTACGCTGCAGTGCATGCTGGGGACTGTAGTGCAGCGCATTGTGAAACAACTAATATTAATAGAAAACTAAAATATTTTGCAGGCCGGATAGGATTGTGTCAGGCGTTTGACACATGGGCTTTAGAGGCATTAAATGCTTCTGATGTCTGGTTCCTATCACCACCACTGTGAACAATCCTAACACTGGAAGTTTCTCTACAGCAGTGCATCTTACACCAAATTACTCTGAATGACTTTGTTTACATCTTAATGATTTAATGACATAGAAATTTTGGAAAATCAGCACAATTTCCCATTTAAAGTCAACAAAACTGTGGAACGCTTTGAGCAATCAAAGCCTACTAGGCCTAATGAGGAACATGACCGACAGTGTCATGTTGCAGCACCGTGGTGAAAAGTCTGGTTCTCCACAGCGCCCAGGAATTACACCAACTACTTTTGCAAGTCAGCAGCCCTAACCTCTCAGTTACCTGCTGTCAACTGTGATTTAGAAATCTCATTTCAGCATTTACTGCATAACATCACATTTTCCTTTTCTACACTGTCTCTCAAACCCAAATAGGACTGCAAAATCTATTAGAGTGGAGAACATCATCCTTATTAATGCCAATAACGATGGTGCCAATAAATGCTGACTGTGAATACTATGCGTTTGCCACTTGCTTTCACACATGCCTACACATGTGCACACAAGATAATGGACAAGAAGTTTTGGGAGCAAAACAGAGTTGGACCCTGCCTTACTGGCACTCAGCCTTGGAAAATGGAGTGCCATAGAGTAATGAAAACAATGAACCCGGCTGGAAGGCTGTTTTCCAGTACCCTTCTAACTGCACCGTTACAGCCAGACCCAAAACACCATCTTCAGCCACTATCAACAAGATAGCTTTCATAAACACCCTGATGGTGGGTAAAAGGTGAAAAAAGAAACACTGTAGTCCTTGAAGAGCTTTTCCATAAGCGAGGCTGGAGGCAAAACAGGAAGTGTCTCTGCAGCTGAAGAGTTATAGGAGAATTTTGCCAGAAAAGGCAGCTGATGCAGACACCCAGGGGGATGCTCAGAAGCAGACCAGACCAAGGGATGCTCTAACTCTTCTCCTACTGTCCGGCATGCTCGCACTGCATGTCATCTGTGTGGTTAGAACTCCCTGAAAATCTTAAGTGCAAGGAAGACATGCAAAATGTATCTCCATTTTTTGATTTTATTTTTCCACTTTATTTGAACACAGTGGAGGTTTTTTTACATTGTGTGAAAGTTTCATGATCAATGGACCCGTAGTAACTCCACACTAAAATTTAAGAAAGTTTTTTCCTGTTTCTGTAAAGTTACCATTTTGAATTTTTTTTGTTGGACAGCAATGATACATATACAAGTTGAATGGATTTCATGTTCAAAACTTTATATACAGACTCAAAGTGACTTGCAACTGTCAGACACACTATCAAGGTGCCAAACTACTCCAACAATTAGACTATGATATCAATTACTGTTAAAAAGCTGATGCAGATTTTTATTATCGACACACTGTTACTTTAAAAAAGCGCTCTATTATGCTTTGTAATGTACGTGTAAAACACGACCGTGCTGATAAAGTGCAGTAGACTTCAGGAAGGGTCAGGGTAATATGTTTCATTGTAACACAAAAGAAGAAACTGTTGCACTGACAAAACTTTGAATGATGGCAGCAGTGAAGGGAGAGAACCTGGAGAGGGTGTAATGGTTAATTAAGGTGATTAATCAAATGATAGTTGATAGGTTAGTTGAATACGAAACTAATCAGTAGTTGTAGCCCTAGATCAAAAACTCTTTTTGGTGACCTGTTGATCTGTATCTGTAGCCTTCTTCTGCAGGCCCTCTGGGTGCCTTTCTGTCTGTTGAATGGAAATCAGTTAAGATATTTTTCATTAAATAAAATGGCCAGGGCCCACTGGTAGACCCCAAAGTTTTATTACACACTTCCATAACCTAAGAATAGCTCAGCCAATTTTAAGTCCCTATAGTTACTGAATAATAAGCCTTAGTATGTAATAAGCCTGAGATTGTAAGGGGCTAAGTAAAATATTTTATCCTGTAACTCAGTTATCAGATTAACTAGGACACTGTTGGCTCTTCATGTGAACTGTTGTGACTGTGCTGAGCTGCTAGCGAGCAATGAGAGGTGAAAGGGAAGGGGTGAGAACCCCCTGCTGTCAAAACAATTCACATCTCTCCACCAAGACAGTCATGCTTATTTAAAAAAGAACACAACAACCTCAGCTTCCTTGACAATTATGTACAACTGTCACAACAAAAACAGCATTTAAATACAATAAAAACATTTTTTTATAAATGTAGGCTTGCTCACCGACAAACATGACAATCCAGTTCTGGTTTTGTATATCAAACACATTTCCATAGATTCCAACATTACTGAAGAAATAACATAACAGTCAGAATCTACACTTTATGCCTATCGTGAAGAAGAGTTAAGCTATTTTTAAAGGCAGCTTTATCTTCATGCTGGTTCTCATCTCCAAAATGCCTTTATACATTCTAGACACAATTACGTTCAACAAGTAATAAAGCTGCTTACACCTGCCTGTTGTTCATAATACAAGCTAAACTGCTTGCGAGTAAATTTTTTTTTGTGGGCTCACAATGTTCTTGAAATGAAACACAACACCAGATTTATTGGATTTAGACAGGCCTGCATGAAAGAGTTGATATTCAAGCAAACAGATGAGATATCCTAACATATTAGATAGCTTTTTCAATGTTTACACATAATCTTACATGCGACCTCCCTTTAAGGAACCAATTAGGGACCAAAATAGTTTGTAGCACTCAGCTGGGTCCAGAATCTTCACCAACATTAGGGAACCTAATAAGAACACATGCGAAAGCTTTTTCTGAGAGCGCACACAGATAAAGTGTTGCAGATATACAGCGTTTTAGGACTTTTTTCAGGCCTATTCAGATGAACAGCCCACGGGTGCTTAACTCTTATGGGAACGGCAAGTTTGTTTTTGATTTCAGGTTATCCTAGGAACACACAAGTGCCTCCAAAAATAGTCAGCATTTCATAAGAGGGAGAGCGAGAGAAGGGGGAGTTGAGGAGGGAGTTTAGCCCATAATGAGGACCAGATGCCTCACCTTCACTGGTAGCCACATTCCTGGGAGCTTTGGTGGGCGTGTGATCAGTGCCGGAGCTCACGTCGGAGGAAATGCTGGAGCTTCCTTTACCTGTGTGACCAAAGAGACAGTGTAACATGGTTTTTCATGACACATGCTTGCTTATTTACATGGTAACATATACGTTTTCAGTACTGTGTCAGTGGGAGTGCTGGTGTTTGGTATCAGTTCAGGGTGAGTGTTAGTGTTTAGTTCCCACTGCAAGTCAATGTTACAACAGATGCAGTAAAAATGCAATCAGACTTCCAAGGCTTTGCTGGTCAGCCATTTTCCAAATTATTACCGGTGGCATAGAGACATGTCTTGTTTCTAATCCAAATCTGAGGTCTGAGGTTTTCATGATTAAGGATTTTGAGGAAGAAAAAAGAGTCAATATTTAATGCTCATCGTGAATGCAGTGGAGCTGAGCTAAACCCTTTTAGTTTACGTCTTCCTGCCAATGAAAGTGCAGCCAGTATCCGGCACTGGAACAATGCATGGAAGAAATTGCTTTACTTGATCACTGGCAGAGTTTTCAGTTGTGTTATGATGAAGTATGACAGCTCTGCCTGTGACACGTTCAACTATCTTTGGCCGTCTTTAATTCAGCTCCGTTAATTCAGTTATACAAGAATCAAACCTAGAGAGACCAGTTCGAGACAGTAAAAGAACTAAAACATCACAAACATGTAGAAAGACCATAAAGCAAATTGTCAAGCTTAATACAGAATTGCAAGGCTAGCTAAATCATCCAGCAACAGCTTGCAGTGATTCAAGGGCAAGAAGAATTATTATAGTGTTATAGACAAGTTGAAGTCCTTCTAAATCAAAAAGGCATTATGAGAGAGTGCTTTCTTACCAAATTACGTTGACACTGAAACTAACCAGAACTGTGATCGTATGTAACGCACTGAAAGTGACACATGATGACATTGGGGTCTTGTTACTTAAAGGCCTCTTTATACCATGACCAGTCCAATTTCAAGCTAATTGATATGAACTTTTGCATTTACTTGGAACTGTCTTTCAAACTAAATGTATTTATATTTATTATCTATAAAAATGACAGAGTTATGACATTTGTGTGGTTTTATGTATCAAAAACAGTCATAATTCACTTTTATATGACCATTTTCCCAACCACTCTTTAAACCTTCGATTTAAACAGGCTGTTTGTGTTACTGTGTATTTAAGACTGATATATGTAAATGATCTCTGTTCTGGTTGGCTGCCCTCTATTATGCCTATTTCAGAAAGTGGTCCAGGCTAAAACTTTCCTTATAACTTTAGAATAAATGGGCGGAGCTAAATTGCTGTTGACTGAATAAGTAGCATATGTGTAAATACTGTTTCTCATAAAAACAATTGAAAACAAGTTGTTTTTGCAGTTCTGGTTCCCGTATATGGACTGTATGGTCGACGAATGATATGTTTTGAATCTTTAATAATGTTTACATTCTACATCAAACTCTCATTTAAAAAAAAAAGAGAGAGAAAATCATGGTTTTCCATGACAGGGGCCCTTTAACAACCTGAGAGCACAGATGTTTCCGTGTAGATGCTTTGATTAAAGAAGAAGTAAGCTAAGACCCTCAGCAAAGACTCTGTATTCACCAAAGGAGCACTGCTGTATGCATGCATGTGTGTGTGACGGGGCTATTTTACAGCAGTTTATCCTCTGTCAGGTCATAAACTCAAACCACAAGTGGCTTTGTGCAAGACTGGCTTGTGCTTTTATCCCACATAAGTTCTCCCTGTAAACAAACCCCTCTTCACACGCTCTGAGTGTGCATCACACACATCACATGATTCCAGTGACACACTGCAAACACCCACCCACCCACCAGTGTCTAGCATTAGCACTGCTATGCGGAGACGAGATGATTCAAACAAGCCTCTGCATCACCAGTGAAGCATAGATGGAGGCGGGGCCCTCTTAGCGCCTCATTCATAACGACTACATAAAACCCACCACGCAAACTAAACTCAGTCATTTCCACATTCTCTCCTTTCCTAAACCAACCAGTGCAGTTAATGTGGCTAACATGAGGCAGGTCCCCTTCATCATTACCATTGTGACGACATGCTGTGGTGACATCACTGAGCCAGCACATCTGCTTCCATTTCCACATCAGGCCCCGGAATGTGACTCGCCAGGCGAGTGGACACAATTTGTTGCATAGTCAAATGGCATGAATTAAGACTCAACAGGAAGACTGTTATTTTGTTGCTATGTGAAGCTCCTGGGTAGCTCTGAAGTTCGGGACAGTGTCGTGTCGGATGGTGAAATTTATATTTTATTATTATGATATTGTTGCCTAAGGATACACAACAGTTTCAGTCCTTGGGATTAAGAACCAAAACCACAAAAGTCTGGCGATGAATTTCTCTCGTACAGTGTTACCACTTCTCTGCCTAACATCACCAGTGTGTGTTAAAGATAAAACCATAAAAAATAATAAACTGCATTCAGGAGTCAGAGTAGGATTCTGAAGAGTCAGCTATTTGTTTACCAGCTTTATCCTTTGAGTGCCAGTTTACCATCAAGAGCTAAAGATTGATCTAATGAACTAAAAACATAATGATTTAGTTTAGTGGCTGGCTCTTTTAACAGTTTCCTGCTTGACTACCAGCTGTTTCGGCTGCTTTTTGGATGTTGGAATGGCGCTGGAAACAAAGACAGTCCTTTTTCTATCTTTATGCATCCAAAGTGGTGTTTGGAGAGAGGAGTAAAAGCAGTCTATATGGGTTTTTGGTTATGTCATCATTTCATTATTACACAAACAGTGGTTTCAGTAAAAATTAATGATGGAAAGACTTAAGAAGCAGCTGATCAGTGTGGAGGAGTGAGCGACCCAGCTTTTGATCCTTCATCCGTTACTAATATAAAAGATCTTCTCTCTTTAATGGAGCATTTTAGTATTCTAGAGTAGGGCAGGGCAGGACACAAACTAATGCAGGGTAAATTGTAACATGGACATTTTATGTAGTTAAACTGGTTTCAGTAGAATGTGCTTTTAGCCATGGTCTCGCGAGTTCAGCAATTGGGCAGATTTTTCCAGATTCATCAAAGACTGTTTTTCTACCATATGAATAATTTTTCATTAAATGTGTTTTTTGTTAACTGAGTTCTGTGTATGACACAGAATTCACACTTCTTATTTCATTTGCCATATTCCTCCCATATAAATTCAAAACGGTCCATGTTTTGGACATTTTTATCCACAGATTAATCAAAAATGTGCTACAGATATCATGTAGATCAATATATTTCAGTTTTATTGTGTCAACATTAGGTCTTACACTTTGTGGTCAAAAATAAAGGTGGCATTGTTTAACACAACCAAACAACACAGTCTTATATAGAGTTAACTGTGTTTTGCATCAGTCAACCACTCTACCTTTTTAATGACTGTTACTACTAGCCTCTCCATCTGTTATAGTTTACCCCGCCCATGTGGTTCGATGTAACATTTGCACTCCTGCCAGTTTCACCTGAATTGTCCACAAACAGCAGGTGCTGCAAACAAACTGTTCGGTTTCAACTGTAGAGGAGACTGAATTATTCTCTCAGTTCAGTTAAAGCAGTGAAAGTCTGGCCTTTTTATCAGACTCACTTCATTAACAAGCCGTTAATAAATGATTCTTTGGCAAACCTTGATCTTCCAAATGATGCGTAGAATGTTTTGCCCTGTAAAAGCAGTTCCATTACTCAGGAGCTTAGCACCCATTGACAGCTATTTTCCACTGATAGCATGTGAACATTTTAAGCACACACAGAGAGAGAGAGAGAGAGAGAGAGAGAGAGAGAGAGAGAGAGAGAGAGAGAGAGAGAGAGAGAGAGAGACAGCTTGAATTCATAAAATCTAGGCTCGATTCTGCTTCTGTACAGAGACCAATAACACTGGCAGACTTAATGACTTCATGCTCATAATTTCTGTCAATGACTTCTGCCTTCTGCATAATTAGTGAGATGTCATATGGGGTGGTTGTAGTCGGGGTTAAAGTGGATCTGTTTTCACAGTTGTCATATTTCATTGCTTTCCTTTTAAAGCCTTTAAGATACAGAAGGCTGGGCTGCTTCCCAGACATCACTGATGAGGATTTATTTCACTGGAACCTCTCCTGTTTTCCCTTTGACTACCAGTCTATCCACCTTTCCAGCAGATACATCCATGTCACAATTGACTGAGAGGTGCAGAAATGAGAGAGAGATAGTGAAAGAAAAAGAGAATGAAAGCGAGACAAAGAGATCAAAAGAGCAAGAATGGTAGAGTGAGAGAGAGACAGAGAATCTGAGCTCTTTGAGAAAAAACAGAAAGAAGAAACAATGTAAGAAAATGAGAGTTTGTTGAGAAATGGTGAGAGGAGAGAGAGAAGAGAGAGAGATAGAGACAGAGAGAGCTCTGAGATGAAGAGAGAAAAAGAACAAGAGAGAGAGAGAGCACCCTTTGACAGACAGAACTCTGAGAGAGAGAGAAGGAGAAGATCTCTGAGTTTAAAGGAGAAAAAGAACGGAGGAGTGAGAGAGAGAAAGAGGAGAAAGCTGAGAGAGCGAGATAGAGAGAAACAGCTCTTTAAGAGAAAGAGAGAGAGAGAGAGAGAGAGAGAGAGAGAGTGTGTTTTGAGTGAAACAAAGAGAGATGGAGAGCACTCAGAGATGAAGAGAGAAAAAAAACAAAAGAGAGAGAGAGCACCCTTGAGAGACAGAAATTGAGAACTCAGAAAGAGAGAGAGAGAGAAGGAGCTCTTTGAGATTGAAAGAGAACGAGAATAAAAGAGAGAGAGAGAGAGAGAGAGAGAGAGAGAAGAAAGCTCTCAAAGAGAGAGAAACAGCTCTTTGACAGAGAAAAAATGAGAAACAAGAGTTCGTTGAAGGGTGGAGAAAGAAGAGATACAGAGAGCATGTTTTGAGCGAGAGAGAGAAAGAGAGATAGAGAGAAAGAGGGAGCTCTGAGATGAAGAGAAAAAAGAACAAAAGAGAGAGAGAGAAAGAGAGAGCACCCTTTGAGACAGAAACTGAGAGATAAACAAACAGAGAAAGAGAATTCTCAGTAAGACAGAGAGAGAGAAGAGAAAGAGCTCTTTGAGAATGAAAGAGCAAGAAAGAAAGGAGAAAGCTCTTTGGGAGAGCGAAAGAGAGAAAAACAAAGCTCAGAGAGTGAGAGAGAGAGAGATAGAGAGAAAGAGAGTGTTTTGAGCAAGAGAGAAAAAGAAAGAGACAGGGACAGGGACAGAGGGAGCTCTGGGATGAAGATAGAAAAAGAACTAAAGAGAGAGAGAGAGAGAGAGAAGAGGAGAGCTCTTTAAGATTGAAAGAGAAAGAGTATGAAAGAACGAGACAGAAAGAGGAGAAAGCTCTTTGGGAGAGGGAGAGAGAGAGAGAGGGAGAGAGATGGAGAGAGAAAGAGAGCTCTGAGAGAGAGATTACGAGTTTAACACCGTTGTCTCCGCCCCATTAAACTCACCACGTGCCGCCGACACTTTCCGAAGAAGTGAGCTGTGAAAAGCTGCAGGACTGAGAAGAGTCCAACTTGTTTACTTTTCTGGAAAACAACTTGTCAGAAACGTTCAGCGGTTTCCTGTGTCGTGCTTATGTAAGGTGCAAAGAGAGTTTAGCAGGGTGTTAGTTCTCTGAGTGAAATTCAAGACCAGGTCAATCTCAAGTACAGATGCTCGAGGCACAAACGGAGAAGAATAGCATACGTTTATGAACCCTTGATGAGGTATCACGTTTTGCAGAGATGCACTTGAAAGCCAAGTACTCCCTCCTCATTCGGCTCTGTAATAACGTTCAGCTTTGAAGGGCAATCTTCCTGCATTAACTAATTGAATCGAGCTGAAACGCACTGTGACTGCGGCAACAGCTGTCTTGAGAAAAGTACGAGGCACTGACCCAGACTCAAAAGCTTCTACATTCCAGCTGTTTGTAGATAATGTTCACTCCTCAGATCTGTAAATGAGCAGATAGGCTGACGATGTGCCAAGGGATACAGTACTCGTCTAGTTAATTAGCCAGAACAATATTTCAGTCTTCTTTTGTAAATCTGGTATTCTGTCAGTGATTGGATCCATATGATCAGCTTCTAGGCTGAATATAGACAACCAAATGGTCAAATCAGATTGGCATTTGTCTTTGTTTTACTGGATTCAAGAGTTTTGACACGCAATTGGCACGTGACCATTGGCTAAAATGGCGCACCACATTATGAATGTATGAACGCAGTCCAATCTGGAACTGAAAATATTTGGTTGGATGTGATTTTATGCTGCCTTGGGGAACACATCAGAGAAATATCTGATTTGACTGCCTGTAGCCTAAGACAACAATCCCGCTTAGCCCAAGTATCCCTCTGACACCTTTAAGCAGTTTATTCAGGAATGCAAAGATCTATGATGGGCAGTTCACATCTGCTATGGTATTCTTTGATTTTTGTGGCCATCACATGCCAGTCGCAGCCTAACTTAAGCATCCTTGTACTTTACTGAATGCAGTTTAGTCCTGAAAATGTTCAAATCAACATCTGAAATGTTCATCAAATGACCCGAAACAGTAAGCACGTGTTTGAATATAGCAAGTACACCTATATGGACAAAAGTATGGGGACGCACCTCCTAATTACTGATTTCAGGTGTTCCAGCCACACCCATTGCTAACAGGTGGATAAAATTAAGCACATAGCCTTGCAGTCTCAATAGACAAACACTGGCAGTAGAATAGGTAATAATGATTTATTAATAAAGTATGCCAGACTCTGGGGCAGTGAAAACATATTCTGTGGAGTGACGAATCACACTTCTCCATCTGGCAGTCTGATGGACGAGTCTGGGTTTGGTGAATGCCAGGAGAATGTTACCTGCCTGACTGCATTGTGCCAACCATAACGTTTGGTGGAGGAGGGATAATGCTATGGGGTTGTTTTTCAGGGGTTGGCCTAGGAGCCTTAGTTCCAGTGAAGGGAAATCTTAATACCAAGACATTTTGGACAATTCTATGCTTCCAACTTTGTGGGAACAGTTTGGTGAAGGCCCTTTTCTGTTCCAGCATGACTGAGCCCCAGTGCACACAGCAAGGTTCATAAAGCCATGGCTGGGTGAGTTTGGTGTGGAAGAACTTGACTGGCCCACACAGAGCCCTGACCTCAACACCATTTAACACCTTTGGGATGAACTAGAATGGAGCCAGGCTCTCTCATCCAACATCACTGTCTGACCTCACAAATGCTCTTCTGGATGAATGGGCAAACATTCCCACAGACACTCCAAAATCTTGTAGAAAGCTTCCCAGAGAAGTGGAAACTGTCATAGCTGCAAAGGGGGACCAACTCCATATTAATGCCTTTGAAATTAGAATGGGACATCATAAAAGCTCCTGTGGACATAATGTGTAGGTGTCCCAATAGTTTTGTCCATTTAGTGTACATACACAACACCGGGGGTCACAGATGTTATCCACAGGAAAGCACTCCTGATTCTACTTGTTTATTCAGTTAGTCTCACTCTTCAAACAATTTGTTAGTATGAGGTGAGTTTCTGCTTTGTTTGAATTAAACCTGCAGCCACATCAGCCCTATGTGGAAAGACTGACCCCTGTAGTACTACATTTAAGTTGAAGGTAGCAATAATAAGTATGAAGACAGGAAGATTGATAATCGACAGAATAATAGGATAATAATTTGTCTTTATTAATCTCTGCTATAACTAATAATCAGTACACAACCTCCTCCACTAAATGTTGGATAATTTCCAGACACTATGTTCAATGTTTATGGAAATACTGTACTGTTTACTACAAGATGTCTGTGACTTTCTTCTGGCGGTCTTAAGTGAGATAAATATCAGGCGTTCACATGCTGACGATGAATATCTATGTGTTGTATACAATACTGTGCAAAGGTTTTAGGCACCTAAGAAATTGTTTAAAAATATTTATCTTGGCTGTGAGTGAGTTTTTGCCTGTAAAAACACTATATAACATTTATAATAAATACAAATAAACACAAACACAGCAAAGAAAGTAGTTGATAATCCTGTGAGTTAGTTATAAGAACAGAGGTTTGGTTATTGACTTGTTGCTGACCTCCAGCCATCGCATGTCTTCGTTAAACTTTCATCAATAGCGCACCTGATTTAATATAATGAAGGACCAATTAGACAAACTAGGTATTGGATGATAACTGCAAATTATTCTGGGCAGCCTTGAGGAGAGGTCTGGAAATGGTTAAAGCCCCAGGGAACCAAAAATCCATGTTTTCTTTCTAAGTACACTCTTAAAGATGGTTCTTCTAGTGTTCTTTAGTAAATGAAATGGTTCTATATAGAACGATGAACACTCAAAGAACTCTTTGCATGATTATAGGGTTCTCTGCATTGTGAACGTTTTCTTCAGATTGATGAAGAATGTGCAGTAGATGGTCTATATATATATATATATATATATATGTGTGTGTGTGTGTGTGTGTGTGTGTGTGTGTATATACACATATATGTTCTACATAGCACCAAAAAACTATTGTTATAAGCCAAAGAATTCTTTGTTGGTTCTTTATAGAACCCTTTTTGCTAAGAGTGTAGGTTCATCTTGCTCTTGTAGGCACACAGTATACATGAATAAAGTATGTATTGTGGATAACTTTCCAGCATCCAATATATGGCTCCAAAATGTCCCTCTCTCGATGTCCTGGGAAGTCTTAATATTGGGAATTGCTTACATAAGCAGTACCCCTAAGGCAGATGTGTCTTGTCCCACCCCCACAGCTTTAACAAAACAGCGTTCCCCTGTGCTGTAGTGGTGTCCAATTTTAAAGGACCGGTGTGGCTGCAGGTTTTTATTCTGAAGAAGCAGGAGCATTCCTGACTCTGCTTGTTTAATCAGTTGGTCTTAGTCTTCAAACAATTGATCAGGTGCCTGCAGCCACACCGGCCCTTTGCAGATAAGATCGGACACCCCTGCCCTGTGGTCAAGTCCATCTCTCTGGTCAAGTCAGAGAAACTTAATAGCTTGTGCTGTTGTGTTTAGTTCAGTGATGGCTAGTAGTGTTGGACTTAAGGATGCTTATTAGGCCACGCCCACACAGTTCTCAGATGAGTCTGATCTGATTTTAAACCTGAATTTTATTATATTTTTATTTTTTTATTCAAACTTTGCTGGATGTTTAATGTAACACTCAATTTTAGGATCTTACAGACACTTTGAATGTTTAAAACTGTGGAACTTTAAACAAACACAGACATACATAAATCATTACTTATTGGATTTTCTAATAATATTTGTATTTATTCTAATATTCTCAGCTTTCAGCCCAGATAAATGACTTTTTAAATAATATTGTCTCAGATGACTAAGGCTTTTGTACAAAGAGAGAGAGAGAGAGAGAGAGAGAGAGAGAGAGAGAGAGAGAGACAGAGTGCAATGTGGACCGTGTTGTGCTGAGGTTCGCCTGAACTTTGAGCTGGACAGACATCTGTAAACCCACCATGAGGATCAGATCAGGATGACCAGATGTGGACTCTCGCCTTGACTGCTGAGCACAAGATCTAGAAGTTCTCAAGGCGGAAGAAACGAACCTCTTTATCTGGACTCGTTATCTCAGCCTGGTATGGCATGAAGCTGACTTTGACTTGACCACAGTAACATCTAAGCACTTGAGAAGTTCTGCTGATTTGGGACAACAGAAAGCAAATGTAGAAGAACAGAACGGCTCTCAGTCTCAGGTCAGACGTGCCTCTCACTACAGCAGACTGACCCGCTTGTTCCCAAACCACACACAGCACAGGAAGAATAGGAGAACAGATTCAGCGCAGTCTAAGTTCGCTTTTACACGCAGGCAGCTTTGTGAAAGTCAGCTTTTCTACGTACCTTCGCTTCCGTACTGTTTCCCATTGTTCGCGCCCATCCTGCAGAAGACATGGTCTATCCACACAACCCCGCGGTACACATGGCGCTTTACACACTAAATCAGCCAACACGAGCTCGAAAAGTACTTCCAACTCTTAATAGCGAGGTGAGGGAAAAAGCCAGAGGAGAGCAGCGTCGCGTACAGCCGTCCAGTCCGAAAGAAACAGCACTGTGCTGCCCAGAAAGGGCTTAAACCTGGTTAGAAGGCTCCATTGTGTCCGTCCACTCAGTCCTGCAGAGATGTTAGTCCAGCGCAGACTGCTCGGGGAGAGGAGAGGCTCAAGATCATATTCTCCAGCAGAGGGATGCAGGGGCTGAAGCACAGGGGCTTTAAAGAGACCGCTGGGTTTAAGGCTGAGCTGAACTTGACACTGCAGTGACCATCAGTGTGGAAACAGGGGCGTAGCTAGAACACAAAAGAATGCAGTGACAGAGAGTTTTATTGGCGTGGCACTGCTAAGATTAATAAACAAGTAAATAAATGAATAAAATAACCTCACTGTATTAAAATTATACACATAGTTTCTACACTTTGTCCATTTTATCAGCTCCACTTACCATATTGGTGCACTTCGCACTTCTACAATTACAGACTTTGTTAGCCCCCCCTTTTGCCCTGTTCTTCAGTGGTCAGGACTCCCACAGGACCACCGCAGAACAGGTATTATCTGTGTGGTGGATCATTCTCAGCTCTGGAGTGACTTTGATGTGGTGGTGTGTTGTGCTGGTAAGAGTGGATCAGACACTCAGATATTTTATGCAGTAGCAGTGTCACTTAAACACTCTGCTCTTCTGTTAGAAATACTGGTTATATCAGAATATCTGTCTGCTGCTGATACCGATGCACTGTGCATCCCTAATTTCATAATTTGCATGGTTAAATGATTCTTTGCCCCTATGATGTAAAACCGTCTTTATGATTCTTCACACATATTTTTTTAAAATTGTGATGTATATATGAACCAAAAAGGGTTCAGTTATTGTTAAGTCATAAAACCCTTCTTTGACATATTAATTAAAAAGGGCCAGTTCTGAACATTTGACGAGCCCTTAAATAATCCCACCCACCCTAATCATACTATTTTGCAAGAATTGAAATGCTGATTATTTTGATAAGAAAAAAATAAAATAGCATTTTTTTTTCAAAGTGAGTCAAAGTGATAACTGATGTCTTCATAAGACATTTCTGCAAATATCATAAGTGACACAAGCAATCAGAACAACATAGTTGCTGGGCTCTTTGTGGCTTGGGGGGATCTTAGCAACTGTTTATAAAGCTTGATATAAGAAAGAGCCTTGTTCATGAACGCTGGACAGAGGTAGATCTGATCCCAGATCAGCCTGCTAACGTAGAGCAGTTACACATGGTCTATAAACTGCAGGTTGCTGTCTGTAGTCTTGATGTCTGCTCCATTGTACGTCTCTGAGACTTCCTGTCCAGAATAAGGTGACTGAGCTTTATCAGCGGAAACTTTATTGTGATGTGAACCTCAAAACAGGAATCATGAACAACCAGCAATAGCGTTTTTGTAAAGGGATTGCTTCCTTGAAGTTCCTATTAATCACTCACACTACCTTTGTGGGGTACTGGCAGAAGGACAATGGCCATTATTGCTCTTAAAAGTGCCTGCTGGGGTTAAGTGCTGACATATTCAGGGTATTTCTACCACTGTTCCTACCACTAATAAACAATATGAGGGGTTTATTAAAGATAAATTTATGAAAAAAACCTCCAAACAAAGTGTAGAGATCTAATGTACACTGTCTCACCTTTTCATACTATCACTTACTTGAGCCACGCATTAAAAACTGTTTGAGAAAATGTTTGCAGTGTTAACTGTTTTTAACAGCTTTTTATTGGCTGCTATCTTTTACACAAGGAGTGCATTGTAAAAAGGCCAAACCACAAAATTTTTGAACTTTATAAATGTTTCTGGACAAACACAGTGAATCATTCATTCAGGCCTGAACTCAAATCTGGGGAGTATGTCTAATGTCTAAGAGACACTTTTCTGGGAGTGGGTTTGAGAAAGCGCTAGCAGAAGTGACCACGTTTTACTTGTTTATTTGGCTCGCATGGTACCAATCAGTGGTGTGCTGGCTGTCTGGGACAGGGTCAAATGCCAAGCCCCAGAAACCCTTAACAGCCAAACGCTCTGCTTCAGCGGTATGCAACCCAAGAATGCTATCTACTTCCTCTCTTCAGGGCAGCAGTGGAATTGAGGCCCAGAATCCAGCACAGTTTGACAATTTCCCTGCTCAGTCACACCTACTAAACCTGGTAAGCAGTTAAATCATGTGTGTTTGAGCAGAACGATTGCCAAACTGAGCAGTCCAGCCCTTCAGGACCCCAATTCCCCATCTCTGGTTTAGGGACTTAGATATGAGGAGGCTTAACACGAAAAAAATATATATGTTATGCTATTCTGTAGTGCAGCATTGCATCCCTCAGCCTAGAGTTCACAAGCTTGCATCCTTTTATTTTGTTTCCATCCTTCAGTGTTTTCTCACTATAAGACCTAGCATGCATTACACTTATACACTGTTGGGTTACTGGGATCCTTCTGGTGATATTCGGCTTCATAGCGGTAAGGACAGCTATCTGGCTTCCTTCTATATTAGCCAGTGAGCAGTAAAAAATTCAAACAGATTGCCCTCTACCCACCCAAAAGCACTTGTACTTTTTCAAAAGTTCCTCCAACCTTCAAGAAACATGATTAGAAGGGGGGATTTCTTAGTCTTTAAAATGGAAAATCATACTCTTAAGACGCCACTGTAGGAGGTAAACATGTTCACAACAGATTTAGTGATGGTTCCATTTTTCATTTTGGCTGAAGTGCCCAAACACAAAAATTAGGACTCAATAGGCATTTTTTTTACTTCATAGTGACAAACAAACAATGTAAAAATAAATTCTGATAGCCCATGCAATGATGTACTGACACTCAAACAGATGCTATTTACTTGCAAAGAGATTCAAAAGATCTGGATATACACTTCCCATCAAAAATGTAGGGGAACCTAGCTTTCAAAATGTTTTTAAAGAATGAGGACTTGAGTTTTCATCATAAAATTGCAAAATTTGGAGGACCAGTTGAAAAAATAAAAAAATAAATAAATACTACTTAGATAATAATGCCAAACCCCACACATTTTATCCCATTGTTGTGATCACATCTCAAACTTTCAGATGTTCAATCATGAAGTGGAGTGCTGCCAAATATATCCACTATCTATAAAAAGCTGTTTTAAGTTAATACATCCTTATTTAATTGAAAAGTTATATTATAAACCAAACATTACTCAGAATATATCAAAAGGAGCAATATTTCCCCAAACTTCAGCAGTGTGGAGAGAGTGCACATTTCTAATAATGAATCAGTTTAAGAATATTATCTTTATTAAATGTTTTAACTGCCTTAAAACGAATTTACTTTGTAGAAGCTTCTAAAAACAACTCAACCTGATCCACTCCTTTAAATCAGCTCTGCTGGGAGGCTGCTGGCCACCCAGTGTGAATAGACACCCACAGAGGCACAGGGGGAAGGATTAGCAACCGCATCTGTATTAACATCAACCGCTGGGGCGGCAGCAACAGACATGACATAGTGTCCAGGAGGAGAGGGGAGGCCATCCTCCTCCATTGGCTCAGGGGAGAGCAGGGCAGTGGGGATTGTGGCTGGGACGCTGTCTACTGCATGATGAGGAGTCGTGGAGGGAGAGCTTTCAGCCTTAAGAACAGAGGCAGGCTCAGAGATCAGGCAGGCTGGAGGCCTCATGCTGGCCATCCTCTTCCGTATGGCTCTCATAGTGATGGGGATGGACAAGCATCTGGAAAGATAAAAAGATAAACAATCACAGTTCAGCCTGACAACACTTTGTGAATGAAAGATTCTTAAAACTTCGTAGAGATGGCTCTGATTTAATACCTGATGACCTGGATATTGGATGAGAAAAAAAAAAAAAGAAGCTGATTTGATTTGGTGACAAATCTAGACTGATATGTGACAGAAGTGCTGTGACAGCCACACAAGACTTGCAGAGTAGCTAGTATTATACTAGAATTACAGTTTCTTTATTTTAAATAGTCCAATTTTGCACGTTTGCACTGTGGCATATGCACGGCTTAATGGTATGAAAAAAAAATGAGGTTTTGTCAGTCATGTGGTTGTGTATGCATTTCTTTCCATAGGGCAGTGGAGTGTTTGAGCAGTACTTAAACTATTAAAAAAAAGTTGTTCGTAGTTAGAAAAAATGGTATTGTATAGGTACCGGCCGAAGCTCAAGGTTTCAGTATCAGTATTGGAAAAGAAAAGGTATCATGCCATCTCTGAAACGTACTTTAATACAGACTGAAAAATAGGTTAGAAATAGAAATACTGTAAATACTGAGACAAACAATGAGTGCGTTTACATGAACCCGATACTCCGATCATAATCGAATTTCGGCAGTTATCCAATTATTCAAATGGTCAATCTGATAAAGAGGTTGGATTTTAGCTTAGTAATCATATTTCTCAGTGCATGTAAACTCTTATTAGGATTTCTTTCAGATTTCTCAGTCTGTGCGGAACAGACTGCTGTACCGGAAAAAGCAAGCAGCGATGCCGCAAGATGGCAGCAAAACACTTTTGGAGTGACGCTGAAACCAACTACATTCTGGACAAAATTAAGGATTTAAATAATTGGCAACACTTTACTGTAGGGTGCGGTTCATAAGGTTATACGAGACCTACATAAGCTAGTCATGACTGACAAAACCCCACATAAATGTTCATAAAGGCTTATTCCAATAGGTGTAATTCGCTATAAAAGGGTACATTTGCCAGTTTTGATCAAAGTTTGCCAAAGTAGCCTTTATGACAGATGATATCCATTGGAATAAGCCTTTATAAACATTTATGTAGGGTTATGTCAACATGACCCTACAATAAAGTACCAAATAAAGAGAAATATTCTTCAAATCTAATTTTCTGCAGTTATCGGATTATAAATGCATATTGACGTACTCAACGGTAGCACCTTACTTCTGTGGTAGTATGCTGTGTAAGTTTTGCATTTTCACAGTATCTTATAATTTCACTATACATATCTTTTTTGTTTTGACCAAAATGCAATTTCATCTGCAAACATGCGCAAATGTACCGTGTAAGGACTCTGGAAGCGTAATCATCTAGAGAGTGATCCACTAAACCTCCCGTTAGGAGCCTGCATTGCACTTGGCGACAATCCACCACAGAAACCATCACTGGACACCAATAATAAGACAGGACGAAAAGAAAAAAAAGAGAAAACGACAAGAAACGACAAGAAGAGGAAGTTGAGTATGCAGCATGTAAAACATGAAGTGTTGAAATCTTCACACAGGCCTCATCCGCCATAAGACGATTGTGTAAGCACATACAAACTGCCAGAGAGTCACTGTCCAGGAGGCTGAAGGCCACAGAAAAGCTGCAGTCAGACTCCGGGAGAATTTCACAGTTGAGGTCACACGCTATACCTGCCAAGAAGTACAGCACAACATTTGCAGGGTGACTGTGTGTATCAGCAAGTACAGAGATTAAATGTTAAAGCCAATGCGAGTTGGAAATCATTACACTTTTACCATGATTAATTTCAGAAGTATTAAAGAGGGTATCTGGGCTAGCTGAGCATTTTCTCTCAATGATATGTGGGGTGGTGGGATGGAGACATGAAAATTTTAAATAATGTCATAAGGTCCAATAACATCAGACCTTATAATGTCACGTTATTTGTTGGGTATTACTAGTTAATATTAACCAATAATATGATGCTCAGTGATGTAACCAAAAATCAGAAGACACTTTAGAGGTTTGGGCTTCCATGGTCAAACGACATTATGTTGATTTTCTAAGTGAAAGTAAGTTACAAATCCTCTACAGAGAACACACTTCAGTACATTTTAAGTCTTCATTTATTGAATTTAATATATTAAGGGGAAAAAAAAAAAAATCATAAAATGGGGCCTGTGCAAAAATGATGGCATATCTATTATTTATATATTGTACTACACATTTGTTGTGTGTCCATGTTGTGATGTTATGAATATCATGTCCTTAAATTATGCTGCAATCAAATGGCCATAGAAAAAGACAATAGAGATTGACTACTTCTACAACCTGGCTGGTGCTCATGGCTGGAAATGCAGCTTGCTAAGAGGATGTTGATGACTGACTGATGGCGAAGGAGCTCCAATAAGGCAGGCACATGGGCAGGATGAGTGAATGGAACTGTGTGAATTAGAGCTCCTTTCCACGAGTCACATTTCCATTCAGCATCACCGAACACATAGCTCTGAAGCTCAGTGTCAGGAAGAGTCTTATATAATAAATCAGAAGAGCAGAATCTGAATGAGTCTTGGTTACAATTAGGCATATTCAGTAGTTATGATATGCACAAGTATTCGTACAGTTTCAAAGCCTAAAAACAATTCATACAGTATTTCATTGGGTCAGTGAGAGCTTTCATGTAGCTTGTACATGTGGATCTAGTTACAGAAACAAATTTAAGAGAATTCTCTGCACAAAAATGCTTCTTAAATATTTAAAGAGCAAGTATAAAAATATAAAGCATTGAATTTAAATAAGAATGTAATATTTGCATACCTTAAGAAAGTGAGCATCCTTTCCATCACCTGACATCTTATAGTTCTTTTCCTCCAGTCCAGCCTGCTTTATCAGCTGAAATATGGGCTCCCCCTGCAGGCCAGTCTCTGGTGTAACATCTAGAGGACATAAATCAGGCTCCCTGTTAGTGTCCAGAAACAACTTCAAGGACATATTGCTGCAATGCAATAATGCAGTCAATTATTTGGTGAGAATAGAAGTGGGCAGAGCTGCCTAAATCAATACTCAGAAAAACATTACTTCTGTGAAACAAGTATTACAAAAAAAAACAAGTAGAATTACAAAAGCTTCAGATCAAAAACTACATAAGTACTGAGTTCTCTATAAAACTGCAGCAGAGCTTCTGGGCCTAGGAACCACAGTTTGTTAGGTGCTAATACTTTTTTTGATGCACGCTTGGTCTAAAAGAACATGACAAACTTCCAGAGCGAGAGATGTGATTAACTGCAAAGCAGCACTGAAGTAACGAATGAACATGTACTTTACTGACTACACCCTCTTCACAAATATATTTGAGCAGAAGTATTATAACTTGAAAATACTCACAGTAAAGTATGAATTCATCAAAACGTAACATGAGCATGTATAATTAGTTACTACCCACCTCTGGGTGTGTATATTAGTGCTGATTGCTAAGATAACGTTTTAATGACTAAACACGCAACACCAACGTTATTGCTAACTGCACTGTATGTTTTCGCACCAAACACTATTGTATCATCACAGTCAATCAAAATCATGTAACTCTATTTCCCCACATCACTTGAGCACAGTAGCTGCCATTTACATTGTGGTAACATTTCATAATTAGAATATTGATAATATGTATTAAAGGGCTCACATCCTACATTTTTCTTGTATTTTATTTTTTCCCCAGGGGTCAACTTATAACATTTGTGTGGGTTTACACACCAAAAACTCATAATTCTTTTTTACATGACCATTTTCAAACCTCTCTGTATCCCTTATACAGGCTGTTTTTTGTTACTGTGCCTTTAAGACTGATATCTGTAAACAATCTGTTCTGATTGGCTGTCCTGTATCAGGCTTCATTCAAAAAAAGCAGTTCAGGATGAAACACTCTTTATAACTTCAGCGTGAATAGGCAGAACTGAACTGCTGTAGACTCAATAGGTGGATATTTGTAACTATTTTGGTTTTTGTGACATCACAAAAAACAGTAAATTTAAAACAGGCTGCTTTTGCAGCTTAGTTTGCATATAAGGACTATATGGACCAGGGAATGAATGGTATGTTTTGAAACTTGTTTATATTTTATATCAGCCTCTGTTATTTAAAAAAAAATGTGTTTTTCCATTACATGGGCCCTTTGAAAGGAAAGAATGTGTTCCTTTAAATGTGAAAATAAAATGTTGGAGTTTTCTTAGGACAGTGATGTTATCCTCTATCCAAACCAACCACTGTTACATGACCAAATACTATCGTATTGACAGAGTCTTGAGTACTGCCTGGACCTGTGATTTGGCTCATCTTGTGGATGAAGGAGTTAAGTGTGGGCAGTGGTGGCTGGAGCTTGAGAAGGAAGAAGGCTGGCAGGAGCTCAGAGCTTGCTTCAGACAGCGGCCTGAACACAGGGAGCCTGCAAAACATACACCTCACACTCCAACACTAGTGGGAGAATTCATTTTAATACAGTATGCTGAGATTAATATCCAAAATGCAACTCTACTGCTGAGTTGAAACAACTACCATCGTCATGTTCTGCATTATACAAGTCATATGAACCAGGGGGTCGTTCACAAAAGAACAGGAGGGTATTCCACAAAGCTGGATTTCTCAGTTAGCCAGATAAATTAAACCCAATAGGAATGTCCCTCAGCTCGTTTTCTATTTGACAAGCTTGACTTTGGGCTTAAGTTGTCTGGCTAAACTGAGAAATCTTGCTTTGTGAAATATCCCCCAGATCAAATAGTCCAGTTATCCAGATAACTTAAGCCGCAAGTTTAGGTTTGTTCAATAGTAATATCCTTAACATCATGTCCTATTGGACAATCCTGACTTTTCTAAAAGTTAATTGAGGAGAAATAGGTTAAAAGAGAACCAAGTATATTTCTTTCAAAAGTAGTACCCCTACCAACAAAAAATAGTAATATTTTCTTACCTTAGCATAGGACACTTTTAACTAGAATACAAAGTATGTGATTGGTTACTAATTTTGCTTTAAATGGGCATTACAGCCAAAATCTAGCTCATCTGTCATGTTATGTAACATTCTGTAGAGCAGCAGTGCAAACCAGAACCTTATCAGTTTGACAGAACTCACGATTTTGGATCCTTTTATTCTCTATATTGTGTTCTCTCAATACAATACCCAGCACGCACTGCTCAAAAGCATCATACCATCAACGGGAATCCCCCAAGAGTAAAGAAATCCTGACTGCCAACACAGCCACTGAGGCTAATGAATACAGACATGATAGTCAGCTTCTTAGCAGTACTTTTATCTATCTGGCTTCCTTCTGAAGAATAACAGTTGCTCAAGTATCTGCCAAAAGTTCCTTCACCTTCAAAATACATCATCAGAAGGGGGTTTTCATAGTCTTTCCTAAACCAGACAATCTCTCTGTAGAGACAACTGCAGCACTACTGTAGGTGGTGAGTAGGCATGTTCACAACAGATGTAGTGATGGTTAAATCTGTCATTTTGGCCAGAGACTCCCTTTAAAAATCACTATTATACCTCTGTTTTATCTTGGGAGTGTCACCATGCTGGGCTACCTTCACATCATCACCCCCCCCCAGGCTGCAGAAGCACCTTTGACTTTGGCTTAAGTTATCTGGCTGCTAAATCCTGCTTTGTGAAATACCCACCTGATCATGACTGACAGTGACAAACTGACTAGCCAGAGACTCCTGAAGAAATAATTCCATTACCCACCCCACTGAGTCCACTTGAGGGGGAGTGGGGATCAAAGACTCCATCTGCAACCTGTGTGTAGTGCCACTGGCACCCACCACTACCATGGCAACCTGACCACGGCTGCTTTCACCTAGCAGGGAACAAATGAGTCATGTAAGGCACCATAAATGACAGCTAATATGCTGAATTCCAGTATATAATATCCACTCCAGTCTTGTGTCTTAATGTGTGCTTTAAAACTTAACATATACTTAGCAGTTGAAGTGGAACATCACCTCAGGATCTACATTGTATACCCTTATTACAGCCATGGAGAAGTAAAGGATTATCTTGAAGTACCTGGACATAACATCTCCATCAGAACGTCTGAGGGGCTGATGTAGTACTGGATGCTCATTGGGTTTCCTGACAGGGAAGTACTAATATTAATTGTCAATACTAACACCAGTGCAGCACTTAGCAGTATATCAACCAAAAACTAGCATTAACAGGAAAAAACCTTCGCAATACATCCGCTGAAGGTTTTCTTAGTCTTTAAACTGGAAAATCTCACCTACGGGACCTTATGTGGCATCACTAAGACGACAGACATGTCTTGAACAGATGGAGAATGGCTATATTTCTCATTTTTGCCAGCCTCTGGCCCTTTAAATCCATTGGCTGACACCTAATGGCACATTACATTTCCCCCATACCTTCTCTGCAAGACATGACGCTCCCAATTCTGCCATTCAGAACCATGTCAACATGCACATTGCTCTCTATCAAACGCCTGCAAGGTAAAGTCAAAATGAAATGTTTTCAAGAATTTCCTCTACACATGTAATATATGTGCACTGAAACTTTGGAGCATACAGTTTTCACACCTTGGTAAATTGGATATCTTGAGTAGGTCTTTCTGCAGATGCTGAAGGGACGTATACACCTTTATCTTTGTATCACTGTAAAATAAAATAAAAAAATCTGCATTTAAAACTGATATAAATGCATGATAAGTGGAACTAAGTACTAATCCACAATAAGCAAAGTAATACCTGTCTCCTGGTACGTTGTAGAGAGAAGCCAGGTCATCCAGCTTGACTGAGAATTCCTCAAACCTCTTCATCCTTTATGGATAAGGAAGGTTAGCTGACATGTGTGTCCATTTGGACCAATCAAGCAATTGAGCATCAATGGTTAAACAACAGAGAAACTCCATATTTTTCAAAAGTTCTTCAACAGGCGAAAAGGAACGACTGATGAAATGAGCAATGATTTCTTACCTTAGCAGCTGAAGGAGTGACACATTTGACTGGAATGCAAAATACAAAACTGTCACTACTTTTACCTCAAATCTCTACATCTGTCCTGAGGGTGGGTGACATGGCAAAAATATCACAACACTTTAGAACATTTTCATGATACACAATAAGAATATCAGTATTTTAGTTTGATAAGCTGGGACAGACAAAAAAGTACCACATTTTAAAAATTCTATCAATACCAGTACTATGATTTTTATTCAACGTTTCACATTGCACTGCTCTAAATCCTATTAAATAGCATTAAACATGCAGTTGGACAGTGTTCTTTGAGTAATAGTGATATCCACGACATGGTCAGAAAAACATACTGTAATATAATGTGATGGAATTTATCGCAATAAAAGTAGATTTTGTTATACTGCCCACCTATAACGTCCCCTACATTATACTGCCTCTGTATTTATCTCACCTCAGGAGCTTCACCATGCTGGGCTACCTTCACATCCTCCACCCCTCCCCCAGGCAGCAGAAGCACCTCCAGGTAGAACAGATCTGCTGTCAGATAGCATGCAGTCTCTGTGGGACTCCGGTGGGAACCCAGTCTAGAGAGGACATTGGTGCATCAAGTGAAAAAAAGCTGCATTCATCAGTCTGATAAAGACTAAAGATTAAAGTACAGTATTTCATCATTATGTAAAGACTGAAGGCATTTCTATGGCCACTAAGAGAATACTTGTTCTTAAGAGCACAACTATAGTGAGTGTGACATTGGATTGGACTGTTTTGTTCAGTTTTGCTTCTTTTAAAACACCAAAGCAAACCCCACTCCTGGAGATCTACCTTTCCTGCAGAATTTAGTTCCAACCTGCACGTAACATGCTTACTTAACACTAATACAGCTGATACGGCCAACAGGCACTTCTGAATAAGTTAATTAGCTGAAGCAGGTGTAGCAGACTGTGGTTGGAACTAGTCTCCGCAGGAAGGTAGCTATCCAGGTGCAGGGTTAGTGACCACTGCCTTACACAATACTGTAGATGTTAATGGGACAAAAATAATTTCCAGGAAGGAAACCTACAGGGCATTTGTTTTAAAAGAACATAAAGGTAAACCTGAATCACCCAGGAAATGGCATTCAATGCAGTTAACTGTCAGGTCCTGGACACGACGAGTAAAGTGCATGAAACAGAATTTACAAATAAATAAATAAAAACTCCTCGGCAACAGGGACACTGCTATTTCATGGGCATTCCATGACGGACATAATTCTCAATTTCTATCTAGTATACTGCAAAAACGTATAGTCAAAACTGAAAAGCAACACCACGGTATGCCAATACCACAATATAATACCCGTACAGACAATATATTGCCCAGCATTAAGAGCTAATACATAAAATAGAGACTTGTTACAAGATCAAAGTTTATAAAGCACTCAAACCCTCTCTGTTTGGCAATCATCTCCAGCCTGGTCACCATGGCATTCACAGAGGTCACTACACATAGTAAAGATAAGAAACATAAACAAAAAGGATGTTAAAAAAAGTATTTGAAATCACAATTTTAATATTTTTGATATCTAGAGGACCCCCCCCCCCAAATCATGGATGAAGGCTGATGTACTGTGTATTCTCACCATTCAGAGCTTCCTGAAGTTTCTGCATGCATTTCTTAATGGTCTCACAGGGCTTAGTGTCTGCTCTAGTTTTGTCCTGTAAGTACAGAGGAAAGAACATATCACGTAAAGAAGGACTTCATCCAAATATGCCAATGTTGTTAATAGTGAGCAAATGCTGCTAACAGGCAGTGAGCATTATGCTTTCTTCAGTTCCCACACACCAACTCTGGGTGGTCAAGCCAAATATTTTTGGCATGTTTGAAAATCAACAAATGTTGGTGAAAGTGGTGCCCAATGATTCAAACAAACTCTAACTGAGCATTTAATATTGCGCTGCATTTACAGCAATGTTGAAGTAACCACATGTACACCATGTTCAAACGTTTATCGGCACCTGCTCATTCTCATTCCTTAGACAGGGTATTGGGAGTTTGGTTTATGGTGACTGCTATGCCACTCCAGAGCGTCCCATTCTACTGGCAACGCTTTTCCATGCAGATTATATTTTTGAACATGAAGTGTCTATACAAGATCCTTGCTAAAAGCCCAGCAGGAGAATATTACGCCCTTAAAATAATGCTTCTCTGTTCAAGTCTGTGAAGTGTGCTCATGACTTTTTGGGCTTTAACCCAGCCCTTAAATCCCCTCTGGGCAAAAACACACATTATTCCATGGATATACTCACTAAAGTCCTCTTCCCAGGACCTAGGCCAACTTGGGGATCATACCCTATTCATAAAACGGCATAAAAGAGGCTCTGCTTTTTTGCTTTTTATGTGCTATAATTATAATTTGGACACCAATCAATCCATGAAAGACAGACACCTGTACCACACATCAACCTGCTCCTTTCTGTATCCTGCTTATGTAAAACGCCTGACAGTAATCCAGATTGGAAAAATACCAAGGCGAATGGATATTTTACAGCTGCTTGGGAAGAAATGCGTACATGAGCACGTAGAAGCTGTCCCTACGTCCAGAGAGAAGGCAGCTGTTTACGTATTAGTTTGGCACGGAACTGTTCCGGCCACAACAGTCTTGCTTAAGCTCTGCATCTGGAAGACATTTGTTAGGCCATGCACGCAACTTTTACTCAGCAGCACAGCAGTAGTGAGAGCAACATGAAATCACTCAAATAAGGCATGTAACATGACATGGAGGAGCTTAGGACTGCAACTGGCTGAGGGTCAATACTGGGCTCAACCTTGATCTGATTCACATCTCACATCATCCTGCTTTCTGCCAGATTCTGAATATCTCATGTGAGAGCAGAAGCCTTGAGGTTTTCTTACCATGCACCTACGCACCAGCTGAAAGGTCTCACTCCATGGTTTCTCAGAATATTTGGAGTATAACTCAGACATCTTCTTCCTGACTGGAAGGTCAAAGGGAGAATCACACAGTGAATGACGTAGCTTAGTTTTGTGGATTTGAACCTGCAGCTTTAAAGGAACAGCTCACATAGAGCTATAATCAAGACATGTATGTCTTCGAGGTATTATTGCACGTCAGAAACTGTTCCTCTTACCATTTCTTTCTGAATCCATTTCAGCCACCTGTTTGCTCTGCTGCTTTCTTCTAATGAGGAGTGAGGGAAGAGGTCATGTGCATACTCGGCTAGCCTGCAAGGAGATAAGTAAACCACCCACACAACGGCTTTTCGAGTTGGATATTCTTCCAAATACACTGAGAGACAATGTAATAACTTACATTCCCTCGCACTTTACAGCACTTCCTTTTATGAGGTATGAATTATCATCGACCGGCGCTCTTACTGGGGCTGGGAGTCGATCCCAAAAAGAATCGATTCCTCGATTGCAAGTATATTGTGGAATCGAGAGTCGACCCCAAAGCTTTGGACTCGATTCCACACAGTGATGTTCACGTTTGTCCGCACCCGCGTGCCCAGTCTGTATGAAAAATGCTTTCTTTTACAACTCACACATCCACAACACAGCTGTATTTCACTTTAGACAAAGTGGAAAACGAGGTCAAATGTAACATTAGCTTATAATGGCTTACAGTTGAACAACTTACACCCACCCGGCTGAATGAGTGCACAGAGGAGACTCAGCTAAGTTCATTTATCTAGCATTAGCTCTCCAAACTTCCCCAACATTAAGGTCAAATGCAATTAATATTCCCAGAATGCCGTGCGTCTCTCCGCAGCTTTGATTTAGTTAAGTAGTGCGAGGAGTTGGCTGTGTGTAATCGTGTCCCTCTGAAGTTAACTAACTTAGTGTGATGAATTGTTCATGTTGTGTTTGGCTTTTGGTGACCTGCCCAAGCTTTGATTTATCTTTATTTCTTAATTAATCTTATTGTTCATTCTGTCATGCTGGTTTACATTTTTATTTTAGGTGATTAAATTTCATTTTAACTTCTTTAGTCCGTTTAATTTGCCCGACTACCTCGTAAATTAGGGTCACCGTCAGTGTACTAACTTCCGAGTCGAAATGCAGATTGGTTGATTGGTTGTTACCAATTCAGGCACAGATAGCAAAGGAGTCCATATTTAACTATTATTTTTGTTGAAATCGGGATTATTGTGTTGATTTGTCTCTTGGAATCAGAGTCGACTCCCACAATTATGGAACCGAACAGCCCTCGCCTTAACCGCTATAGTCCGTGCGCATGCGCAGTCAGCCTCCCTGCCCTAAGTGCGGTGGTCTCCACAGCTTGCCTCAGTCCGTCTGACCAGCCTCTACCTTCAGACTCTGCTCTCTCTCACCACTCGGCTAATGACTGTTGGTCGCTGCGCAGGCGGCATATAAGCTTTTAGATTAAACGGATACTGGAGAAGCAGGTTTTGATGATCGCAGCTCAGGATCCGTCACCGTGATGTGGTGGCACTGAGGCTGAATCTGGACACGGCAGAGAAGGGAAGGGCTCCCCTCCCTCTCTCCCTCCCTCCCTCACAGGGACACAACTCCCAATCTGCTGAATTTACCTTTGTCGAGCGGCCACTGACAGACAGGGGTAAGTCTGAGCACTGTAATAATCTGCGGGGAACGGTTAAATGTATGACCCGAGGGTTAGAAATTGCCTTTGGGTGAGGAATCGCCGGCAGTTTCATGGAGAACAGTTATGTTAGCCACCTAGCAGGCTAGCTGAACAGTCAGCTTGTAGGCTAGTTAGCTAGCCGGCTAGCAAAACTCATAATGAGGATCCACCTCGCCTGGTTAGTGACTGAGCTTGCTAAGTTAATAATGTGATCATGACAGCCAGGTGGGCATCTGGACATCCAGATGGTCAGTTAACCGAGCTAGATATACACGGATCCGTTGGCTTGCATCGCTGGCCAACTCTCTCATAGACTGACCGTTATGCCCTACCCTTCTGTATTTGTATTGTGGGGATATAAAACCCTGCTGCTGCTGTGGTCGTTCCTGCTGAATGTGTGGTTTATCCGACTGTCTGCGCAAACACCCTTGAAAAAGACGGTTCTTCAAGGATTCTTTAGGAAAGGGAAGAGCTTTATTTAGAGCCACGAGTTCTGTCTAGAACCATTTCATGCTGAAATGGTCCTTTGCATGGTGAAGTGGTTCTTCAGATGTGTTGTGTATGATTCTATATATACAACCGTTTTGAAAATTGCTCTGTGTTGCACCGAAAAGGGTTCTGCTATCGTTATAATGTCAAGCTTGTAACAATAGAAGAACCCTTTTTGGTGCTATATAGAACCATTTTCAAAAAGGTTCTATATGGAACCATATACAGCACATCTGAAGAACCATTTAAGCATTAAATTGTTCTAAATAGAACTCATGGTTATGGACAGAGCCACTGCCTTTACTAAGAACCCTTGAAGACCTGTGTTTAAGACTGTATCTTGAGACGAAATGGGACATATTAGGCTCTTATGTTCTTATTTCCAGTGGTGAGACGTTGAAAAGACCCGGCCCCAGACGCAGCTTCTTATCAGTCAGTTTAGCTGGGCTGGTGGGAAACTCAGTGGTTGTCATTGATATGGCGAGACTGGCGGGTCTTACAGTAATCTTTTAAGGAAACTTGACAGTCATATCGTCTAAGCTTTTGGCCTCAGTCATAAGACTGTACAAGCGTTTTAGCTGTCTTTGCCTTAATGAATAGACAGGGCCTGCTCTTGTGGGGGTTTGATATGGATAAACAACTTGGTGGGGCTGCTTCAGCTTCAAGTCCAGTGAGAGGCTCAGATATTGCTGGGTTATTGTGAGATATGTGTGGATTATTTGAAGAACGTCTGCTCTCTCCACTAATGTACTGTCAGCTGAAAATGTTGCCACACTAAATATCAAATTTATTTCATATGTAATGTTCATTCAATAAGAACCAGTTTAGAAAAGAAGACTTTAAAACCTGCTTTTAATGTAGCTGCATAACATATGGTGCTACATTTAAACATAGCACAGCAGCAGACAAACTAGGCAAACATTATGATGTAAACTGCTCTGTTTAATATATAACAACTATACAACCATTAAGTACAGGACAACAGAGAAAATAGACCAGCTGTTGGTCCACAGCAGCAGTAATGGTTGTACATGTTTGTTTTTTAATTTATTTATTTATTTATTATTTATTTTTTTTAATCAGTGCACTGATCATTAACAATTATCCTATTCTGCTTTGTGTGCTTCACTCATGATATCCTGGACCTGGCGGTTAACTGCAGTGTCATTTCCTGAGTGCATCAGATTGTTTTAAAAGTGTTTAAAATTCATGAAAATGTTATAAATAGTACATTTCCTCAAGAAATCTGTTTTGTGTCTGATTAACATTTGCAGTATTGCATACGGGTCCCTTTGGTGTAATTTTAAGAGAAGCAGAACAGAACAAAACAGTTTGTCAAAACAAGCTGTCAGGTTTGTAAGACAGCGTAACGTAGAGCAGCACCTCTCCGGAAGAGCGGGCTGTGAGCTGTGATATATTCAGAATATTATGATATTGAATTTTATCTATATGGCCAACAATAATTCAACACTATCATTAACAGGAATGTTCTATTCTGGGAATATTGTGAAGACCATATCAGGAAGAAATATTTCAAGTGTGCAGTTACATACAGTGTGCGTTTGAGGGGGTCCCAAGTTGGCTGGCTGCGAACTCACTCGCGCTGTTTGGTTTAACAGTATTGGAAATGCTTTTTTCCAAGTTTGGTGATGCGGCCTTCCACGCATCGTTTGAAATCTTACACATCTCCTGTTTTGTCTCCTCTTTGAAAAACGAGTAACAATTCACTGCTGTCTTGGGAAATTGGGCTTTTTTTCAGATTTACGAGTGTGCTGTGCCATATTGTGAATTTTTTCAGGGGTATCCCAGGCATAGCTACAGTTGGTAGGCTATGAAGGACCAACTGGATGAACTGATTTGCTACAGCGCCACCCTGAGGCAGACCAAGGTGCTGCATCTCTGGTCAGTTAAGAATATCCAAGACAGAAGATCGCTGATTGTGGGAGAAGCAGCTAAACAGTGACCTTTCCCTGAATTTGTATTTGAGCATCTGTTTTACCCTAACAGACAGCATAATGTCAGAATTTCAGGAACCCCCTAGAATTTTGATTTTGAGACATTCAGGGAGTTCGAGAGGTTAATCAGGGGGTCTTGGACCCCCTGGACCTCCTATATATTGCACCTTGGTTACATGTCTGGTATGGACTGTTGAGGTTTGAGATTAAAGACTAGTGTGAAGGTGTACTGTACGCATTGTGTTTACAATTTTAATAGACTGTGTCTAATTTTGGTTAAGATGTCTGGTATTATTTTTAGCCACACCCATTAAACCCCATGAAATTATCATTATTAAAAATACACTGTGTCTTACATAACTGTCATGCCTGTAGTTTTGTTATAAATCAAACGGAAATAAGTATCTGTCCAGTCTTGGCTATCCCCAAAAACCATCACTGCCTATTATCTTAAGCCTATGGGAACCCACAATTGAGTATGTGAATGTTTTATAGACAGTGACTTGAATTTGGACTTGATGATGGCAAGATGACTTCACTACATCTGAACTGTATTAAAGTTAAAATATAAACTGTATAAACATTGTGGCTTCCTTGTAGGTTTTGGGAAAAGGAGATGTGGTCTGTTTTGATTTGATTTGTTTAATATGAACATATAAGAACTGCACAACAGTTGACAGAATAAAACAGTTACATCCTCTCAAAACCTACTGTTTTTCCTCATCTCAATATAGAATTATACAGACTGAGATATTTTGGGCTGTGCTACATATTGCATGTCATTCACATGACTTGTAACCTATTTTAGTGCATGCAAAGCATAAGCTGCTCCCCTTTCGCTCCCACTTTACACTGAGGGGATGCACCTTGATACCTAGTTTTGATCATTAGTTATGTTTCCATTTATTTTCAGTGCAGTATTGAAGTGATAAAATAAAAAATGTGCAAAGCCATTGCTGTATATTCTGCCCAGTAGCTTGTTTCCATCAAACTGACTTCTAATGGTACAATTGCTTTATGTAATGATGTCTTTCCTGACAAAAAAAAAAAGGTTGTTGCAGAAGTTTGGGTGTATTGATTAAAAGTAGCTGTGTTTGATTTCATCTCTAGTTTCAGGTCTGTGTGCAACTGTTACACACAAGATCATTTTTCTCTGCCATGTAGAGCAGTTTGGGTACTTTCCATTTAGAAAAGTTGTAGTCTTTTCTGGACGTCTTTCTGTAGGAGCTGGAAAGTGGCAGCAGTCCTTGTAAAAACTCTAGTCTCCTCCTCAGTCCAGGTGTACCTCTCCCCCTTGCCATTTATATTCGTTTACATTGGTTGTAAGAGGTATGTGAGAAATAATCTGTCAGGTGACACTAAGTTTATGTGTAAATGTGTTCTTAAAAACAATAAGCCTCATTCATCAGTATCTTCCTAAGGTGTTTCCTAAATGTGTTCTGTAGAAAGGTCCTAAGAAAAAGCCTACTTCAGATTCATGACGTTCTTAAACCGCAGAACCTTTGTGCTCTTATGTAGATTCTGTTCTTACCTAAGAATAAATCCCGAATAAGAAACATTGGTGAATGTCAGAATCTTCATGAAAACTGCGTAAGTGGAGTTTTACAAAGTTTTTTGACATTTCAGGTATCAAGAAACAATTTAGTGGAAAAAAGGATTTATAAACATTAACATTTATTAACATTATTAACAATATTACAATGTCCATTTCCATAGCCTACATTTTTCACAATCCTTTGAAAGGAAATTTAGGTACAGTGTGTTCCACAAAACTCAAATTCATATTATAGGCTTACTCTTATCCATTATCGTATGCTTCAACCTCAGACAACCGAAGTGTGGATGGGAAAATGGAAAATTTGATATAGTCTTTCAGACATTCTCTAACAGCTGCACAGTGTCTCCATGTTAAAAGAATACTTAGTGTTTTTCAACTTGATCTGTCACATCTGTATCCTGTACACACCCATGGCTTCTATTTTCGGTGTTTTTCAAGTGATGAGGTTTTCTGTTCTTTCAACACGTACAGAGAAATGTGTCAAAATTATTTTTATTACCTGTGGAAATGAAGCGTGTGCTACACGTGGCAAAAAGAGATTAGTTTGAAAAATACTAGAGTTCTCCTGTAGCAGAACGTTCCTGGATGATTACTGCTGTCAAATTTGATTTATGGACTAAGTTGAGATCCTTTCCTTACAGGTACACTTTTTGGAGCAGCACTCCAAAATCTTCTCCAGATAAAGAATCCACATTGCTCCACTTCACTCCAGTGACATTGAGCATTTCTTCCGACCTCTTCTTCTTCTTCTGGATCCTTCTCAACACTCTGCTAAACAACCCACAATCTGCCTATCTAACCTGACCCACAACTACAGTTACCATGGCAGCCGCCAAGCCAAAAGGGCAGAACTCACTGGCCCTACATAAGGTGATCATGGTTGGCAGTGGAGGTGTGGGCAAGTCAGCTCTCACCTTGCAGTTCATGTATGATGAGGTAAGAACACTAGCACTAAACATATAATGGATGCTTTTGTAACTTACATATGGAAAAGACTGTATTGTGTCTGGTATTTTCTCACCTAAGCGTGTTGTCACCTGTTGCCCACCTGTAGATCATTTTTTGGACTGTTCATAAGCTAATCCTGATGCCATTTTTGATGTTTTGGGGCTGGTGGCCATTGTTCATCCATGAATTCTTTTTGGTCTCCAAATTATCTCTCCAGTTTCACCAGTACAGACATAAATATGGAGCATGTGCACGTAATGATTTGAATGTAACTCTACAGTCTGAAGGTATTGACAGATTGCTATGCATTTGCTTCCCAACCAGGCAAAACAAGCACCCTAACATTGTTCGTTCTCAAAATGGTCTAGCAATAGTAGAGTAGGTGCAAGTGAGGCTACCAGAGAAAGCATCACCTGAGCTGTCAAGTTCAACTTCATGCATATTGTTGCTTGACAGGGTGAGACACAAACTGGACTGACATAGAGGCTGCCTATAAGGTAGTCCTCAGTGAGTGGGGGTGAATAGAGCTAAAGGCAAAATTTTAAATGAAACGTTTTTATCCATGTATGCAGTAACCTGGACAGTAGAAGGATGTTTTACATTTTTTTTTCATAAAATTCAAAGAAAACTTACCAATGTCTTGTTTTCTACAGCAAAAAATGCTTTGTGCAGCAGGACGCTAGCCTTGCTGTTACTGAGCACTGATTGAGCTGAGCAGCTCATTGGCTGAGGAAGACAGTCCATGCTCACTGGCGTCATGAACGTACAAAAGGCACTGTTAGAAAGTCCTATAACTGGAGTTCAAAAGCTCTAAAAAATATAACAGCAGTATTTTTTTTTTTAATAGTAGTAGTATTTTATGCTACTCTTTGTTGAGAAAATGTGTGAATTTTTACATATAAAAATGATTAGGTCTTTACAAACTATGAAAAAATGCTCCATAGGAACCCATTTGTTTAGGACTTGTTTAGAGTAACCCTCTAGAGTCTCACTGAAAACTCTGAGCTGCCTCATTGTATTGTTATATGTAGACTGTAGTAGTAGTAGTAGAAACTAACAGCCAAACACTTTGCTTGTCGTGCTTCTCGGCAGCAGACCTGCCTGCATTTGAACAGTGTACTGTTGCTGGAAGAGCTGAACACATCCAGCAGTTGGTTAGCTAACTGGCTTTAATACCAGTATTGTGGAATAGGAGTAACATTAGTGGAGCTAATTTTATGACAAGTTCTCAACCTGTTGCTCTCAGTTTGTGGAGGACTATGAGCCCACAAAGGCAGACAGCTACAGGAAGAAGGTGGTCCTGGATGGAGAGGAGGTTCAGATCGACATTCTGGATACAGCAGGTCAGGAGGACTACGCAGCCATTCGGGACAACTACTTCCGCAGTGGAGAGGGGTTCCTCTGTGTCTTCTCCATCACAGAGCTGGAGTCATTTGCTGCGACTGCTGATTTCAGGTAGAGTAGCATTTCTTTTAGAATGCTTCACTCAAGGCCGATAGTACTCTTAGTAACGTTTTTCTATCTGTGATGCTCTGTGAGTATTAAATCAAAATGTATTTTTGTTATATTTTCTGTAAGCTGCATAACAAACTGGGATGCTGTTTTTTTCTTTTTTTTGTTTTTTTTTACATGATTGGATTTGGATTGTTTACACAACCTATTATAATATGTAGAAATAGCAGTGTCAATATAGTGCAGTCTAACCCAGTGGAATTCCACCAATATTTCAAACTTTTACATAATTGAATGGTAAAGGTGTAAACAAAGTCAATTAGAGTGGTTTGATTTGAAATGGTTCACTGTGGAGAAACCTACTGACTCATTTCTTTGGGTGATAGGAACCTATAACTATTAAGTGATAATGCAACTATATACATTTGAGCCATATCATCTGGCAGCTTATTAGTGACTTGACTTTTCTATGTAATGTCTTTTAGTGATGTCGCTTGTGGAGTCTTTAAATTCGTCAGACATCTGGTTCCTATTGCCACTGCTGTGAACAATTCTGACTGAGTACATTTGTTTACAATGGAACATTTCATATTAAACCACTCTGAATGACTTTGGTTACATCTAAATGATTAAATTATTAACATATTTTGAAAAATCAATCAAAATTCTTCTTTTAAAGACCTATTCCTGTCTAATTTTTATAATGTGTGTTTAAACTTAAAAGAAGAGACTACATTTTTGAGTGTGTGTATATCTACTTAACGGTCAGTGTAAGCGTAACTGTAGTTAAATCGAAATGATGCGCAGGCAATAATGTGAATCATCTTCCTCATGCAGAGAGCAGATCCTGCGGGTGAAGGAGGATGAGAACGTACCCTTTCTTCTGGTGGGGAACAAATCAGACCTGGAGGACAGGAGGCAGGTGAGCGCGGATGAGGCCAAGGCCCGAGCCGAGCAGTGGGGTGTGTGCTATGTGGAAACATCCGCCAAGACCCGCGCCAACGTAGACAAGGTCAGTAATGTGTGATTAGGTTTGGGCTGAGAGCTTAAGAGTTCAGTTAATTAAACTCAGCTAAATGAAGAAGATATGCAGTATGCAAAGATGTGCAGGAGTTTTTGAAGTTGTGTAATTTATGTGTCAACAAGGGATGACCATTACTTAATAATACTTAAGTGTGCTTAAGCTTCAGTACATAGAGTTAATATTATTTATTTTAAGACAGTGCCATATTACTAATATCCCCTACACAATTTTCTTATTTTAACTTAACTTAAATCTAAATTTAAACAACAAAAAAGTCTTTACTGTGTTACCAGTAAGCCCAGTCAGTGTTTTAATATAGAAAAAAAAATACATTTTATCACTGATTCATAATTTATGTTGATACATTAACAACAGGAACATTGGTTTAAGTTTTTGCTAAACATTTGAACTATTATTAATAGAAATGTTAAACTTTTCATGCACTCATTATGTGCTGTTCACTCTAAGTCGACTTGACACCTAATCAGTCATAGTGTTTTGGTGTTATGGCTTCTTCTTATTTCATGCCAGATAAAACGTTTCAATGCAGATTTCATATTATGTCACACTTTGGATTGATAATTGCAACACTACCAATGAAGTAGAATTAGCATGTCTGTAAGACTTAGCTATGCCAGTGTAACAGTGTAACCTTTACGGCTTCTTGACTATAGCTGCTAACTCAGAGATGCTATATTTGGAAATGAGAAATAACATATCGGTGCTGTTGGACCAAAACCTCATATCTCCAAATATGGTAACTTCACAGGAGAAGAAATAACATTCCTAATTTGCAATGGAAGTTAATGTGTGTTTTTGGACCATTTTCTATGGGTCTGTTCAGCATAAAGTTTTAATACAGTGGAAAGGGTAACTGAAGTTTTCAAATTATGCAAAAAAAAAAAGGACAAAAATAAAAATACAAGGCTTTTGCATGACAGCGATAATATCTAAATCTTGTGTGATACTATCAAATGGGTTATTAATTTACTAAATAATCACTTTTGTGAATATTATTTATTCTTGCCTTGTTTGTTTCTTAGAATTCTGAAAAATCTCTCTTTCCAGCACCACATTTTAAACCAAACTTTCCATGGTGACTTTGACATTGTCATAAAAAGGATCCCTTTATGTAGACACAAATATCTCAAGATAAAACGTTTCTTTTGACTCAACACTCAGATAAAGCAGATGCTTGTGTACTGGATGAGGCGGCCAGCTTTTTTTTATCTAGTCTGTTTTTTTAAATATTTCACTTCAAAAGTGCAAGTGGGCTTTATTGCAGATTTACATTATATTTCTGACTAAAGTTACAGTGACATCTGATTAGAAACACTATTCAGAAAAGAAGACTAGCAGGGGGGGGATTTTCAAGCTGAAATAGACACATAAGGATGTAACTTGACTGCATGTTTCAGTGAATTGTCTGACTGTGTTTGTAAGAATTGTGTTTTGGATGTTTATATTAATGTTTGCTTATAAACATTTATTTTGTTATCCGGATGTCGCATGACAGCACATTGCAGTGCAGCATGACTGGAAGGAGTTGAGTTCTGTATGTTTACGTCAGTCTTTGTTTCAACAGGTCTTCTTTGACCTTATGAGGGAAATTCGTGCCAGGAAAATGGAGGACAGCAAGGAAAAGAACGGGAAAAAGAAGAGGAAAAGTTTGGCCAAGAGAATTCGAGAGAGATGTTGCATTTTATAGTAAATGGCGCGTTAGCAATCATTACCATGCTCTTCCCCTATGTTTTAAATATGTTTGTATCTATATGTTCCATATTTCACCCCATTGCCAACTAATCCTGGTCTGTGGGGTTTGCAGCATTGTCGTGGGGTTTGTGCGTCAGAACTGGAGTTGGTTTGATAGAGATGTATCTCGGTGAAGCTCCCAGGGAACTCTTTCCCACTTTTTAAAATGTGTTCTTTATCCAATTGCGTATCGGGAGTCCACAAAAACATGTGGAATGTCTGGTGGCAGTTGGCGACCTGTCAAGTTCGGAACCGTTTTCTCTATCTAACCAATGATTTTCACAGTGACGGCACAAGCTCCAGGATCCTGTTGCTCTTTTGAATCACAAACTGGAGCCCTGCAGTTTGTCAAACAAATGTGGACCACTCTTAACCATGACCCTTGTCTTGTATTCAGGTCTCCTTGGTCCACTGTCCGGCTGGGCTGTATGCAGATAGCCTGCCAGACTGGCCTCGAACTGCCTTAGTTAGAATGAAATAAGGTGACATTGACTTACTAATGGACTTCTTGTGGTTAACACACAAGGTCAGAGACACTGAATACAGATCATCTGGGGACTGCCGAGTGTCCTTGTTTCAAAAATTCAGTTGCGTAAATATGTTGTTAGAGTTAAGATGGTGTGCACTTATCGGTTGTCAGTTGTGATTCAGTAATGAGTAATTGTTGCCATGCAAATGAAAAGCAGTGACAGCTTTGACCTTCAGTTAATCACTGTTAACCCTGACGTTTAATAACTATCAAACACTAAAGTATTTCATTGTTGCCTGTGTGTTTATTTAACAGTTTTCCCCCGTAATTAACTTTGACTAACCATTTTTTTCTGCCAGCGTGTTAAGAAATGTGAATTGAAAACAGGAAGTTATGTTGGTTGAAAGCATTTTGGGTCCATTTGACTTCCTGATGCCTTCATGTCCATTGTGAATGTGAAGTGGACTAACCTGACAGTCCGAGCTCTGTGTTGACCCTCTGACGATTTGTCAAATTAGAACGGCAGATTGCCCTGTGCGGCATTGTTTTAAATTGTTAGCACTGTCTCTACAGGGCCTTATTATAGTTTGAAAAATGACCGTTTTGCAGTTTCTTCTCTGCCTTCATATCAGAGATACGAAAGAAGTCACAACAACTTTATTTGTATTTCCCTGTAAAATACCACTGCAATGTTTTTTTTTTGTTTTGTGTGTGGTATGTAAATGTGAAGTTGTGACTTCTTGTATGCTGTTTTCTGTATCTGTATTTTCTAGACAAATACACATCTAAACTCAAACCTTGTGATTAGGATAAGACTGTCAGTGACATGGCCAGTTGTTTACTTTTGTTTTTTTTGTTTTTTTTTAGATTATTTTGTCTATTTTTATTGCTGACTGAAAATTACAGTGATTTTATTTTAGCCGTCACAAAATGTATAATATTAATTTCAATGTACCATTGGATCTGTTGATATGTATACTAAAGACTTCTTTCTTCTTTTTTTGTAACCATACCTCTTTTGTATTGCTTCTTAGCACAAGGAACTTACGCCAGTCGCCTAGTTTACCAAAACCATGAGAATCAAATGTAGTGGATGCAAAAGGTTGCTGTCGCTTTCAGAACACTACTACAGACATAGAGAATCTGAACCCTGTGCTCTTCACTAAGTCAAGCTGCAACACTAACTAAATGAATTATGCTCTCTGCTTTTCTGTCAGACTTTGTTTATAAAATGAATAATTCAAAAATGGCTTGGTGTGGAACTAAAAATCTTAAAAACTAAATTTTTAAAGGTTTAAACTAGTACCTTTTGTGAAGTGACCCCTGAAGCACTACAGTCAAACTGACTCATAACTATCCAGTTTTATATATAGTAAAAAAATATGGCTGTTGGCAATTGATCACCTGAGATATTTAACACTAATAGCCACCATGGAGCCATTTATGGCAAACCAAAGTTCAGTAGGGCATAAAATATTGAACTGTGTCTCTTTGCTTAAGCTTAATACGTATGAGGGGTAGCTTGGGATAGCCTTGGTGGGCTTTCGTAGCAGAATTGCTAAGCTGTGTTTCGCCTGCTTACTTACCAATCCTGTCATGGTGCTATTTTTGCTTATTTACAATGGCTTAAACTTTGCTGTTCACGTGTGCGTATGTGTGGTGTGTGTGTGTGTGTGTGTGTGCAAATGCACACATGGGGTTTGTTTAAAACTCGTGGTCTGAATAGTGTACGTGTCCATGAAAAGACGATTACGGTGTTATATATAATACAGCTAATCTGAATTTGTCTGTAGTGTTCCGAGACATCTTTTTATCTTTTCTTTGTGTTTGTTATGTAACAGAGTGAACTGCCTTACGTTAGGATGGCAGCGAATGGCAGGAACTGCCATTCCCAGTTGTAGCAGCAGTGTTGCATTGGCAAAACCACTACACTCCCTGAAGATAGATGCTTGCGTGTTGAAAAATGATGCGTTGCATTTTTAAATAACTGCATTTGTATTCAGTTTAATTCTTCCTTTTCTCATCCCTTATCTCTCCTTGCTGCAGATGTTTAAGTTGTAAAGATGGCTTTTCCCTCTCGATCATGGCTTCACGCAGCCATTCTCTTTATTTAAAAAACAATAAAAAAGAAATGTTATTTTCTGTCTAATTAAATCAATAAGATGTAAACAACGTCATTCAGAGTGGTTTGATGTGAAGTGCTCCATTCTAGAGAAACTTACAGTGTCAGAATTGTTCACAGTGGTGGTGATAGGAACCAGACGTCTGAAGAGTTTAATGCCTTTAAAAAGCTACCTCACAGAATGTTATTACATGAAACGGTAACATACATTATATGATGCCTGAGACATTGTTTTCCAATTGTTTTAATATTTTATTTTGGCCTAATATTTTATGTATTTTTATTCTTTATATATTCATGGTGGAAAGGTACGTGCAGGTCGCTATCAGGGCAAAATAGTCCCCCAGGTTTTCTGGTCATTTTGGATAGTAAATGTCTATGTTTGCAATGGTGACATGGTGACCCCTGGTTCCTGTCACCACCACTGTAATGAAAGAGAGGAAAGAGTTTGTAATTTTCTCTACAATTAACCATTTCACATCAAACCACTCTGTGACTTCTTTATTTACACCTCAATTACTTAATTATGCAGAATTTCTGAAAAAAAATTGTGGATTTTTTTTTTAAAGACATATTGTTTTGAATCAAGTATACAGATAAATTACTCATTACAAATTTTGGCTGTTACATTAACCAGACCCCTGTGTACTTAAAATGTGTAACATGTGATGTGTGAGCCACTGGAAAAGAAAATAAAATTAAGGTGATGACCATTTTCTACAAAAGCAGATCTTTCAGGCTGTAATTTCTTCAAAGGTGCCTTCCAATATTGTTGGAACTCTTGGTAAAGATAAGCGAAAAGGCTATGAAATACTGTCTTTATTGATCAGCTTGATTTTACACTGAAAACATGACAAATGTAACCCCTCAGTGAGGCAAAATCTCTTTACTGAATACTTTGCCCACCTTCCATTCATCAAGATAACAGCCCTGAATCCGGTTTTATAATGACAGATGAGATGAAAGATAGTTTAAAAGATCTGAGATCATTCCTCCATACATCATCTCACCAGACCCTTCAGAACTTGTGGAATTTCATCTTCAGTCCACTTTAGTCCACAGGTTTTGAATAGGATTTGGGTCAGCGGACGGGGGACTGGCAAGGCCTTTGATCAAAGACCCATTTTTGTAAGGATTTGGTGGATTTGGATGTTTGTTTTGGGTTGTTGTCCTGCTGGAAGAACTGACCATGACCCAGTTGTAGCCTCATGGCAAGATTTTCACATAAAATCTCCACACATTTGATGGAGTTTTGGAATTACACATGGACACACAGTGTCACTGATGTGAAGCACCATCTAATCACTACTACCTGACTGCTAATGGTGCCCTCTTATGGAGATTCTTCACCTTGCTAACTGTGAGGAAGTGAGTAAGTTAGTTACAAACCAGGTCTATGAGATGCTTTGCATCTAATAAAAAAGCTCTGTGACATCAGATCCACCATCTTACTTCACAGTTGAGATTATTTTCTGTGTAACTTAACTCCTTTTATACCATACAGTGTTTTTAACTCTAATTTTGGATCATCTAATAATAGAACCTGGTTCTAGTCAAACTTCCAGTAAACTTTTAATGAACTGCAGGCCCTTATAATTCTGCTTTGTTAACTGCAGGTGCTTGGGAGCCCAGATAGTTTGTTGGCATGGTGGCATCTAATTGAAGTTTTGGAAACTTAGTGACCCAACTGTCCAACACTGATCCTTGGGCAAAGTTCACCTTCTCAGACCACCTTCTTTATTGTGTGAAGGCAAATTACACATGCGTCCTCTTCCAGGCAGATTTATTACAGAACGCCTTTGGAAATGTATTATTTCCCTTATAGTGGAGATGAGCATTTCAGGCTTGAAACTATTTTTATTGCCATTGCCTGGCTAGAAGAACAACCTAAAGAACAACCTTTTGTCTCATTTAAATTGTATATTTTCTGATCTTCAGCGTTCTGATTGATGATTGACGGTGTTCGGCCTGTCATCACCCCAAATTTCTAAAAGTGTGTCTTTAAGTAGAATGTAAATGGAAATATAGTGTCTTTTGAAAGTATTCAACCCCCTTTAAATTTACCAACTTTTTCTGGATTACAAATGACACTCCAACATGTCTTTTTCAATCTGTATTTTTGTAAAAACCTCAAAATAAGTTATTTGTCTTAAGAGGCAAAAGCATTCATAACTTTTAACATAAACAACGCAGATTTTGCCTGTAGCAGTGACAGATTTTATTCCAGGTTATTTTGGACCATTTCTGTTAGAGCATTAATCAGGAAAGTTTTTTACTGTATGTAAAGAACAGCTGCTGTGCCCAAATTATGTAGAAAATATTTTTTAAAAATATTAAAAATGGAGATAGAGTAACAATATGTATTCATAAAAATACTAATGTGAAAAATGTCTAACATTTAGAGTTCAGAAAATGTTGATAGCTTTTGAGGGGTTTAAATACTTTTGTAAGTATCTCAATACTTCAGGAGTGCATAAAAATGGAATGGGAAAAGTTTTGCCGGCACACTATATCCACTATATACTTTATGCACCTGCAGTAATCTACTTTGTATGTTTTATGTTTTATGCTCAAGAACAATCTTTGTTAATACCACAGTGCTGATAATTGTGTGATTTTAGGTTTTAAAAATGTTTAATTTCTTTAAACGGATATTTTACCTCACTGAAATATTTATCTTACATTTTCAGCATGAGATTTTTTGTTCATTTACCATTCCAGAGGGCACTGTAAAAGATGCTCTTCTGGTTTTTAATTTTGAAAAATTTAAATAAATTAGTCAAGTAATCCACTCAGTGACGCAAAAATCATTAGTTCCTCATTGGACAAGCAGTGAAGAAAACCAGTAAAGTTAAACCAGCAGAGAAGACTATAGATCTCTCCAGGTAGGAGATCTAATAGGTTTAATACATTCAGGTCCATATGTGAAATTTGAGATTTCCTTTGGTCCATATGTTATCATTTCTATGTACATAAAATAAATATAATATTTGGCATAGTTAAATTCAAAACTAATATAGACTTAATTTTGGTATGATTGATGGTTTTCCTGGGATTAAAAGGAAATTTCTGCATAACTCAATTGCTGGGATATAAATAGTCTTCGAAGAGGTTTGATGTAAAATGGTTCTTTGCAGAGAAACGAACCTGGATTTCTTTATAGGTGAGGTGAGAGGAACCAGGACACAATGTCTACAGTGCAAAAGCAGCCATTTTATTTACTGTCTAAAATAACCAGTAAACCTTTGTGTGTCTTGATAATGGTAAAGGTGGGGCTATTTTGTTGTCCAACACCCTGTATGTACCTCTCCTCAAGAATAGAAAAGACCCAAAACTTTATCTCAGTAGTGTCCTAAAACAGTGTCTCAGATATCAACAAACATTCGTTTCATGTAATAACTTTCTGTGAGGGAGCTTTTTCTGACTGTAAGTTTTTCTAGAGAAAACCACTCGGAATGACTGTTTACATCTTAACGATTTAATTATGTGAATGTTTAAAAAAGAAATTGGAGGAATCCCCTTTAACCTTACTTGTCTTACTTCTGCAAATCTAAGTGTCACATGGTGGCTGTGAGCGCCGCTCACAGCGCCCTCTGCTGGTGGAGCGGTTTACTGTCCCGGTCGGATCTCCATTGGGGAGGCCTTTCACTGAGAGCCAACAACAGGCCCTATGGACTCACACGCACACACGAGGGTCGCTACGTTTCGACTGAATTATTTGTCGATTCTTTTGAGAACAAGGTCCAAATAATTAGCTTGCGCTATTTGCTCCCCAGAGAGCGAAAACAGACCAGCGGCGTCCTCTGTGTCTAATCACTCGTCCCGATTTAAATATTTGTTTCTTGTTTGTCGTGTTGAATCTGCCGAGCAAGGCTCACACTCTCCTCAGAGCATAGAAGCTAACGCAGCAGCTTGCGTGCTACTTCCTCGTTAGTGAGAGTGAGTGTTGAGGGCAAAAAGCGTCCAGAAGTTTTTCCACTCCGGAGTCTGGAACAGATCTCTCTCCATTTACTCCTCAAGGACGGCGGATTCTGACGAGCCTCTCCAGCTACTGAACGCAGACCTCGTTTAAGAAAAAAAGGGGGAATACCGGACCATGGCAGGCGGTTTGGAGGAGAAGCAGCCCCTCGTCGCGGCGGTCGCCTGCTAAAGTTAGCGGCTGTGGCTAGCGGGCTGTCCGGATTAGGATGAGCCGGCACCTCCGAGCTTCGGATTTAGCGTTTTAGTCCGCTTAAAGGACTCGTTTCGACGGATATTTGTTCGCAAAGCGCCGATGCGGTGGGTTTCGTGCGGCTGGGACGAGGCTAGAGTCGTCGCCGGGAGGAACCAGGACTACCTTTAGCTAGCAGCTCTGGCTAGCTAGCTGCGTGTAGCTGCCAGCCGAGTTCGCTTCAAATGTTTTGCTTTGTTTACCGGGGAACCGGGCAGTCAGTACAGGCACACGTCCACCACCTCCTCCTCCTCCTGCTCCTACATCCCCTTTTAAATGCCTAACCCGGAGATTTCCCACGATGGCCGGGGAGGCAGGAGCCCCCTGAGCCAGCGGCGACAGGAGAGGCGCAGCAAGGCGGCGAGCGCGTCGGCTAACTCGAGTCAGCGGGAGCGGCACCGAGACAAGCGGCGCTCGGCGTCTTCATCCCGCCGGCGAAAAAGGCACAAGCGCGGCAGGGAGCGGGAGCAGTGGCCCGCGGCGGAGAGCGCGGATAACGAGAGGCGGGGGCTATTCGACAGGGACGGCGACGAGCTTCACGGACTGGTGGAGTACGACGACGTGAGCTCTCAGTCCGAACGCTTCTCTGGGAGCCCGTCGCCCAGGGCTGACCGGCTAAGCGAAGCTGAACTCCAGGAGAGCAGCGGGGCGAACTTCACCGGCGCTTCTTCGCCAGAGAAGGAGCGGAGGTCGCGGAGGGAAGGCGAGGCATCGCGTCAGGCAAAGCGGGACGAGCGAGGCGCTTCGGCCGAGAGGGGCAGAGTCGGCGGGGGAGAGCGGGAGGGCAAAAAGAAGGAGCGCTCCAGTCGCGACAGGGACCCGTCGGCCAAAGCACGCGGCGTGAGCGGCGCCAAAGCCACCCGTGACGGTCTGAGGAACCACGACAGCAACGGTCGAAAGTCATCAGCGGATAAGCGGGACTCCAAGCGGCGCAAGAGCAGGAGCAAGTCGGACAAGAAGGAGCCGCCATCCGCGTACAGGGAAACCCCGCAGGCGTACAGGGACGAGCGTGAGGAGCTGCGGGCCTACAGGAGGAGCCCGGGCTTCAAAGCCGACAGCCCTTACGGAGCTTCCTACTCGTACGGGGGCGGCTATCAGTCTCCCGCCTACAACCAGCTCATATCGAGGCGAAGCCCCAGTTACGGGAGCAAGAGGCAGTCGCCCAACACGACCTACTACGGCCGGGACACGGAGCTGTACGGCGCCTACGGGGCCCCCAAGTCGCCCGTCTCGCACTCAGCCGCCAAGAGGAAGCGCTCGCCGGCCAGCCCCTACGCGTGGCGCCGCTCCCCGAGCTACGGGCGCCCCAGTCCGGCCTACGAGCAGTGGGAGAGTGCCTCCAGTCCGTACGGGCGGAGGAGGTCACGGAGTCCTTTCCGCAAGTCTCTGAGTCCGAGTCCAGAGTTGAGGTAACGCTAAACTCTAATCTACACAGCACGTAGTTTGATCTACATGTGGGGAGTTATGAGCCGTACTGGTTTTGTAGGGGCTCCCAATGGGTTTTCAGTCTGTACACCCTTGTAGTCAGTTCTAGCATTGTTCACTGCGTTGGTGTGTATTAAGACCAGAAGTGGCTATAGTAGATTTAGTGACCCAACTTCTTGCGTAACTTACCTTAAGTGATTTTATGAACCACCCCAATGGTGCTAACTCTGAGGGGAGATGAACCTGTTTTACTTTAAGTCGTTATTAAGGTAGCGGTTTTTAAACTTTGTGGGAAACCCCCTTCAGGTTGCATTGAAGGCCGTTACAGGAATATCGTAATGACTGGGACGACGACTCTTGTTGAGGCCATCTTAATGTCAACCAGAGAAGTGTGGGAGATGTTGTATTGTTTCCCCGACACAGTGTATATTCAGTTAGGCCTCAGAGTGCTGCCTTACAAGTCACACTACAGTCTGAAAAATGTTTAAGTTGTACAAACCTGTAACTAAAGTACCTGCGTACAACGTGAACTACTTTTATGAACTCTGACCTGTTTGAGTCTCCCTGTAATGTGTAGCGATACACGTGGCCTGAAATGCTGTGCTGGAATGAGAGGGACTTTGTGGCAGTGGTTCTCACACCAGTCCACAGGGACCCCCAGACAGTCCACATTTTTGCTCTGTTCCTATGTGTTGCGAGTTGGGTTGAAGCAAAAATGTGGAGCATCTGGCAGTCCATGAGGACCAGTTTGAGAACCTCTGCTTTGTTGAGCACAGTAAGAGTGGACAGTATGGCAAAATATATTAGGTACTTAAATGCCTGGTCACGATACGCAGTACATGTCTCAATAGTCTGATAAATTGGAACAGACAGTCAGTCACAGCTATAGGCCTGCATGTCCTATTAAACTAAAATAATTTAAGATTGTCATGGTTGACTTTACCATGGATAATTTGATGTCCATTTAAATTTTAAAGGGAATATGTCATGGGTGTCATCAGTAGGTCTGAAACACTGAACAACTGCATGCATCATAAAAAGACTTTAGACCAGTTATAGAGAAGCTGTATACAACAGCCATTGTACAGTGAAATGCATGCAGCAGTTGTATTTAATCATCAAAGACTGAGTACAATGATTATTTAATCTTTTACATACTGTACTGCGCAAAATAAAATTAAACAGGATTAATTATGCTCACTTTGTCATGAAACATGCAGTTGGTCAGTGTTCTTTAAGTTCTCCCAATTTCCATTATACCCCAAAGTGGTAACTTTACAGGAGAAGGACAAACATTGATAGCTGTTAATGAAAGTTAATTCTGTTTAGTTAATTTAGTGTTTTTCCAACATTTCTGTTGGACTAGGGCAGCTGATGTTTTCAAATTAAACAAGAAAAGTGGAGATGCAAGATTTTGTTCCAACAGCGACAATATTGTCATGTTGCACACCCTTGAGCACTGTGTGGAGATATGGATTACAGGGTCGCACACGCTGTCATTTAGTTTAAATGTACAATCTGTTCTGTACACTTACTATCAGTCTGCATTGTCCTGCGGAATCTTTTTGAGCTCAGTTGTTAAATAGAAAATATCCTCTCTTATTGAAGTTTCTATGTATTACAGGTACTTGTTAACTTGGTAATTAGTTGCTAAATTATTTGCGAATGAATTAATTCTAGTTTTCTGCCCTGTCTTTTGTCCAGGCGGCCAGGGAAATCACGGAGCCGTAGTCCGTACACGTCTTCGCGTCACTCGCGCTCCCGGAGTCGTCACCGCCACTCTCGCTCACGCAGCCGGCCATCCAGCCTTTCCCCCAGCACACTCACCTTCAAGAGCAGTCTGGCTGCTGAGCTCAGCAAGCAGAAGAAAGCCAAGGCTGCAGAGGCCGCTCGCATCAAAAGCTCCAGCAATGCCTCCACACCTACCAAAGGCTCCTCTTCTTCCTCCAGTGCCCCTCAGCCCAGCCCCATCACCAACCATGCAGTCAAGAAGACACGACCCCCTTCCCCGCCACCGGTGTCGGAGAGAGGTCCTAGAACCCCTGTGTCCAGCCAGCCTCAGTCCCCTGTCGACCGGCCAGCCAAGAGCAGCTCAGAGGCCCCTCTGCCTGGCAAGGAGGGCAGGATAAAAGAGGACAAGAGGAAAGGCCAGTCCTCTCAGGGGAAGGAGAAGGAGAGAACAGCAGCCTCAGTGTCATCCTTGCCTCTGCCCCCCACCCTCCTAGACCACATTGATGGAGCTGATAGGTCTGTACATCATAATAAGTGAACACATTCCCACATCACAGTATGTTTGTGAACAGGTAGTCTTGCGGGGCCAGACATGATCTCGTGATGAGAACGTCTGGGGACAACCATGAGAAATTGGGGAATAAGTGTGGGTAGAAACGTGGACTTATTAGGATGGGAATAAACTGAATGTGAACCAGTCCAGCGCCGCATGAAAGCAGAGCACAAAGTAGGGGACGATGGTCCACTTGTCATCATTGTCCGACGAACAAGTTTGTAGTTAGCCTATGGTTGTGATGCAAGTTAGCATGGCTGAACAGCAGAAAAACTGTTAGGTTACTCTGTTTTGCCATGACCTTGTTTTGCCTCTTTTATTGAATGTACTCTGGGCGTTAAAAGAGCTCAGACTTGAGGAATTTGGGGGTGGATTTTAGAGGTAGGAATACCTCTTGTTAGCAGCCGTCCGGCACCAGAGGTTTAAGTAGATGCCATTGCGAGATCAATACTGTGAGACTAGCGAACAAGTTAAAATGAACAAAATATACTAGAAATGGCACATTTAAAAAGTGTATGGAAAATGAGTGCAGTGATTTTGCTGGACCACCCAGTGGATCAGCCTCTTACTGAGTCACTGACTGAGTGACTAATACCCGTTGTTGAAACACACATTAGCATCACCCAAAACAAACAACAGATAACGCTATATTCCATTAAATGCTGCCATCGTACTTAACCAGCCCTACCAACGTAAAGCTAACAGATAAAGAAAGAAATGCGTTTCTTGAAATGTATCATGGGTCTCACAGAACTCTAATAGTGGGTGAAATAACACTATGTAAATAACAGGGTTAACATGATTGGAATTTTTGTATAAGCATTTATTTTTAATGTTCCAGCTGAAGGTACCATTACCAAGCGGTAGTACATGACCAACAAATGCATCCCTAGTGTAAACTGGAATAGTATGTTGATGTGTGGATGTATTTTCAGAATTATCTCCTAGTGAAGGGTTCACCAAGTTAACGTTAGCTAGATCAGGAGGTATAATGCCAGCACTATTAGATTGTATGCCTGCAGCGAGAGAATGAATAGTTTTTGTTCATAGTTTTACATTCTCAAGAGAAACTGTATATTTCTGACTGTACATGTTTCTGAGTAACTGTAGACATTTATGTGAGTGTGTTTGTGTGAGAACACATTATCTGAGACTTTGATAGACACGTGTACAACATGCAAGTTGACAGGATGATGATTGCAGAGCATGGTGCCATGATCACCACTGTTATCGAGTCACGTAATTATACTGTTTAAATTAAGTCACGTGATTTAATTAAACAGTTTCTGAACAGCATACCTATTATTATTATTATTATTATTATTATTATTATTATTATTATCATTATTATTATTGTTGTTATTATTATTGGTGGTAGTAGTATTAGTAGTTATGCAAAACCCTAAAGCGCCATAGATTATGAAAGCGCATGTTTGTTTTCGAATTATTTTGATTTGTTTTCTTGAAATTTTGAGCTATTTGTCAGTAACATGGCAAAAGATTTCAGAAGAAAAGAAAAAGGGGAGAAAATAAACTGGTAAAAAAAGAGACATTTTGGGCTGATCTAATCAGTTTTAGAAATGCTGATCTACTCAAAAGTGCATTGTGATGCAATCCATCATGAGTAATGTATTGCTCACCCTTACACTCATATTAAGCCACAACACCACCTTAAAACAGATTAAACCAGCATTGCAAAAACTGTTCAAGCTTGCAAGGTTTTATAACATCTTTCAAAATATAAACTGAGCATGTATCGGTGAATCAGTCCTCTGGGTCTGTGAGAACTTTGAATTGTTTTATTTTAGAAGGATATGCATGCGTAATCGTTGTGGTGGCTAATTGGGCCATTAATTAATTTATGCTTGATAAACGCCCAGAGTGAGCCGTGCACATTTTTGTTGCTCTGAGAGAAGGAAACCCAAAAATTTAACTATTTATGTTATGTTTCCTCTATTTGTCTATTTGTAGCTTGAAGGACTCCTTATCAACACACTCAGGGAAGAAGAAACCAGAAAAGAAAACTCGCCACCTGCTCACTGACCTTCCTCTCCCTCCTGAACCTCCGGGCAGTACTCTTGGGTCACCTCATAGTCCACCAGAGGAGAAAAAGACCCCCACTTTACGTAGGAGACCCAAGTATGTTACCACACTTTCCACAGATACATACACACACTTACTTGCTGTGTTTATATGGGTAATAAATGCTTGTGTCATGTTTTTGTGTGTGTGGTGTGTAGTTAGTTTTGTGCATACAGTTTTTACAAATCATTTTTGATATTGCAGATTTTAAGTCCTAAATATAGAATCATATTAATATTTTTGCTGTACTGGTTTGCCAGAATATGTGGGCCACGCTTTGGAGAGATTAAGGAGACAGAGATAGACTGGGGCAAGAGATGCGTTGACAAGTTTGAAATCATTGGGATCACTGGGGAAGGTACCTATGGACAGGTGTACAAAGCCAAGGATAAGGACACTGGTAAGTGTAAGTTTGTAGTAGTGTTTATATTGTGCTTCTTAAGTGTTTACCCTGTTTATCTAGCCTCACACTCATTGCCAGTAGCATTACTTTTGTCTTAAAAACAGTTCAGTATTATGTTCACTGCGGCTCTGTAGCTTAGAGCAGTGGTCACCTATCTTATCTGCAAAAGGCTGGTGTAGCTGCAGGTTTTCATTCCACCCAAGCAGGAGCACCCCTTAAGTAACTAAGCCTATGTTTACATTACAAGCCTCATTGCTCAAATCCGATTTTTCTGACATGATGGTTCACACTAGTTTAGGTAAGTGACTCAAATCTGTCATTAATGTGAACGAACTGGCGCCCAGAAATGACCGGCGTGCGCACATCCTACTCAGTAACGTTATGCGAATGAATCACGTGCGTCACGCACATCATCAGCAAACAAACTAACGAGCAGAATGAGCCTTTGCTGCAAAGATTAAATCTGAACAGCTCTCAGCTGTTCATTATTAGAGCAAGACAAAGGCGAAAAGGGTCAGATGTGTTGCTTTTCCACCATTGACAGGCTTTAATTTCTGATTGGTGCTGATGTCGCACACGCAGTGGGAAAAAAGAACATGAATTCTGATCTGAGCGTTCACATTAAGGTCGCATGGCTACGAATCGGATACACATCCAATCTAGGACCACATATGTACATGGCTTAGGTCGGATTTGAAAAGATCAGATTTGCGTGTCCACACAGCCCTGAGTCACATTAGGGCAAAAAATCGGATTTGTGCCACTTCAACCTGGTAACGTGAACGTAGCCTAATACACAGTTTGAAGATTGAGACCAACTGACTAAACAAGTGAAGTCAGGTGTGCTTTGTGTTAATTGGAATGAAATCCTGTGGCTGCAGGTTTTCCCTTATGTATGATACTGATAGTCCTCACTTAGAATTAGCTAATTAATTAAGAAAATAACTTTCTCCTCTTTCTTGTTCAGCTGAGATGGTGGCCCTGAAGAAAGTCAGATTAGACAATGAGAAAGAAGGATTCCCCATCACAGCTATCAGGGAGATCAAGATCCTGCGGCAGCTCAATCACAAGAGCATTATTAATATGAAGGAGATTGTCACAGACAAAGAAGATGCCCTGGACTTCAAGAATGATAAAGGTAGGTGTTGAGCAATTCACTGAGGCATCAGTAGGAGGCATTTTCCTGAAATCAGAAGGTGATTAGTTTAGCCTTTTTTGGTACAGTGTGGTGTCCCCAGTTGTCTCTCACTATTGCTAATTTACTTCAGTGTAATACATCTGCACCAAGAAGCCATAGGTCTGAGCATTACATAGTAAACACAGTTTAGTCATAGCCACTCATGTCTGGGTGTGAATGGGATTGTGTCCTTTTTGCAGGAAGGCTTAGTTGCTCTGTGCCTGTTGAAGGTAGTCAGCAGAGGGTGTCTGTTAGGTCATGTATCTAAAAGTGTGCCATGAGCACCCTTCTCCAAATGTGTGTAGTTTTCTCTGCCCTTGAATGAATGGCAGATAGAAAAGATCCACTGTGTATGTTACAGAAGAAGCTGAAATGCTGAATTGTGAAGTGCTGCACATGTCAGAAATCACTGAAAACTCAAGCCACTTATTGTCAGCTGACTGGTACTCTATAGTTTTATATATACATTGCAGGCCATGTGTTGATTTTGAATCCTGTTTGGCAGGGGCATTTTACTTGGTGTTTGAGTACATGGACCACGACCTGATGGGGCTTTTGGAATCTGGCCTGGTCCATTTCAACGAGAGTCACATCAAATCCTTCATGAGGCAGTTGCTGGAGGGCCTGGATTACTGCCACAAGAAGAACTTCCTGCACAGAGACATAAAGTGCTCTAACATTCTGCTCAATAACAAGTCAGTGTACTTCAAACGCTCCAATATGTTTGACATAATAACTGGAACAGCAGAGTACATTTTTGTAGTTAAATTAGTGACAATGAAGCTTGTGTTTGTGTTTTAACAAAAGTGCCTTATCTAGACTTATGCTGTGCTGTACAGTCCTATGAATTAGAAACACGTCAAGTTTCTGAATATTTTCTCTTCATTAGGGGCCAGATAAAGCTGGCAGATTTTGGTTTGGCTAGACTCTACAACTCGGAGGAAAGGTGAGCCATGCAACTTATTAATAGCGTTAAATAGACTTTGAAACATTTTAAGACCCTGTATTAATACTTTTCCAGAATCACGCTGTGTAATTAACTGCTATAATTACAATACATATGATTGTGCCTGTGTCCTCTAGCCGACCCTACACCAATAAAGTGATCACTCTGTGGTACCGTCCGCCGGAGCTGCTTCTTGGGGAAGAACGGTACACACCTGCCATTGATGTGTGGAGCTGCGGGTAAGATACTCACTCTCAGCCTGACATTTAAATAGAGATTACATCTGTCTGTATAATGTCTCTGGTTGAGGTAGATTGAATGTCCTGTAACTCTGTTTTTTGTTTGTTTTAGGTGCATTCTTGGTGAACTCTTCACTAAGAAACCAATTTTTCAGGCCAACCAGGAGCTAGCACAGTTGGAGTTGATTAGGTAAACTAGTAATCACCATCCATTTCTATTTCCTTTCTCATCTCATCTTTTCTCACAGCCAAAACAGAAAAGCTGTTTCGGATGCATTTGTCCAGTAGTTGCATGGATGCTGCAGCCTAATAAACTGACACCTGGTCTCTTATCTCAATTCCCTTTAGTCGTATCTGTGGCAGCCCTTGTCCTGCTGTGTGGCCAGATGTGATCAAACTGCCATACTTCAACACCATGAAACCAAAGAAACAGTACAGGCGCAGGCTACGCGAAGAGTTTGCTTTGTGAGTAACCAGCAATAGTACATGTGATGTTAACGCTTGTAATAGCTTTAAGAAAAGCACGCTGGTTCGGTGGCTACGAATCATGCTATTGTGCGTAGACTGCCAACTGAGTTTCACTGCTCCAGAAATTAGGAACTTGTGCCTAGATAAGCTCACAGAGCACTTAATCCTTAATGTTTAACTTGCTCTGACTGGAAGATGATGTTTTTTCTTCCACTGGTAAAATTTTTTCACTCCTCCTTTGTTTAGTATTCCTCTGACAGCGCTGGACCTTTTTGACCACATGCTGGCTCTGGACCCCAGCAAGCGTTGTACAGCAGAACAAGCTCTCAACAGCGACTTCCTGAAAGATGTCGACCCAGCCAAGATGCCCCCACCAGAGTATGAGTGCCATCTCATTTACTCTCTCTGAAGAAGTTGTGTTCTACACGTTGTATCAGTCTCTCTTGCTCTTTCTCATATACACTGTTTCTTTTCCCCAGTCTCCCTCTTTGGCAGGATTGTCATGAGTTGTGGAGCAAAAAGCGTCGGAGGCAGAAGCAGATGCCAGAGGAACTGGCTGTTCCTAAAGCTCCACGGAAAGAGCTGGGGCTGGACGACAGCCGCAGTAACACGCCTCAGGGTTTCCCTGCTGCTGTGGGCCACAAAGGTCCCAGTGCTGCCGCTGCTGTCATGCTGGGTAAGCACAATGACCCCTCTTCCTAACAGCTCAGTGACAAACACCAGTAGCCTCAGTTCATAATCTTTTCACTCATACTCTGTATAGAAAGGTGTTGTAATTCTTGAGGGAGTGCTCAGAGGATGTGTAGCATCTCGATACTGTATCCTTTATGAATTTTGTTCCGGTCTCAGTGCTTTGTACCCAGTCTGCTTGTTTTACCTTGCCTAGCAAATATATTCAATTGCAGCCATGTGTGATTAAGGGTATGCCTTAAAAATCTCATTGTTTGTCTTAGACCCAAAAGGTCCAAACTCGCAACTGACCCAGGAACAGTTGGCTGTGCTTCTGAACTTGCTCCAGTCCAAGAGTGCCCCTGCGGGCTCTGCACAGCTGTCCCAGGCCATGGGCCTCAAGATGAACCCAGAAACTCTGCAGCAGCTCACCAAGGCCCTGCTCCCTGGGCCTGTAGAGCTGGACAGGCCTCCAGAGCCTTCTGTCCCTCCCATCTCCCAGTCTAAGGCCCCTAAACCACCCCAGCCTCCTCTGATGGTGGGTGGTGCACCTCGAACCCCACCCATACCCAAGCCTCCATCACCTCCAACCCCTCAGCAGCAGGGCAAGCCTGATGGAGAGGCCACGGCTGCAGTCACGCAAACCGCTGTCACTATGCTGCTTGCTCAGCTTCTCAAGGTTCAGCAGAGTGCAGAAGTCCTTGGGCCTGAAGGACCAGATGGAACAGTTTCTGCAATGCTTGGAGGGGCTGCTGCTTCCCTACTCTCTGCGGAGATTAAACAGCCCAGCCCTGTCTCACCAGGTAAACCTTCCTCTATACAAGAACTTCACATTTTGCCAAAATGTAAGCTTCTTTCTTGCTGATGAAATAATAGTTTAGCATTCCCAAAGGCATTTTTCTGAAGTTCACAACTTGACACTTCTCTGTCTTTCAGTCACAGACGGGAGTGGACTATCTTCCAGAGCCCTGGAGCCGCTGTCCATCTTGCCTCCTGACCAGAGGCCTCCCGAGCCTCCAGAGCCCCCTCCATGTGCGGACCTGGACTACCGACAAGCCCCTGAAACCAAGCAAAGTCTCTCCTCCTCCACAGGAGCAGGAGATGTACCGCGACCACCTGAGCCTGATTATCCTCCCCCACCAAGAGGTGCGGAGGGACCTGGGTATGGGGCGGACTATCCCCGGCCACCTCCCCCACCCTTTCCCTCCACAGGCTTTGGAGACAGCTACCTCAGCCATATGATGGGAGCAGGAATGACTTCCCATGCCCTGAGGGAGGCTTTCAGTGGCAGCGCGAATGTGCCCACCTCAGCCTCTGTTCCCTCAGAGCCCTTTGCTCATGGAGGACCAGCAGGTGTTGGGAGTACTGGTGGGGGTTCTGGGGGAGGCAGTAGCAGTATGGTTTTTAGTGGAGACAAGGACCATCGCTTTGAATACAATCATAGCCCTATACCTGTGGAGGGCACCTCCCATTCCACCAGCATACATCTCTACAACCCTGCTATTGGCCAAAAGGATGGAGGACCGCCGCCCCCTTCCATACCTCCACCTCCTCCAGGCCAAGCCTGGAGCTCGCCCTCCCAGCCTGGGGCCCCGCCCCTCCCACTTGGGTATGTCCCCCATTTGAACACTGCAGCACTAAGGGGCAGGGGTCTCCCTTACTGACAGGCATCTAAGCCGAGGAGGAATAACATAGTACCAGACTCACGCCTCAGAAAAGGAAGACTCTAAAAGACAAAAGCAGTTGCTGCCTCCCAGGCCAGCACTGAGTGCACTACAGAGGCACACTTAATTTGTAATAATTCTAGTGATGGATACACGGGGGGAGGGGGGCACTCCAGTGGAAGAATGTGGCTAGAGTTACGACTGGAGGGATGAGTTGAGGGGAAAGGGTTTTCCTCTCAGACATTTTTAATTATTTACCCCCTCTCTTTGATTTGGTAATCTATCCTACTGCTGTCTTTTAAATTAAATTGTACCTTTTTGAGTGTGCATTTACCGTCCACGGTAAGTGTTTTTATTCTCTGTACCTTAGTGTCTCCTTGAATTACATAAGGACAGACTAGTATTACAACGTTTTGCACTACTGAGTAAAGTAGGCAGAAACAAAAAGGTATGAAATGAATGATGTGCTGTATCTGCACAAGATGGAATGACCAGTAATGTAGTTTTTTTTCTCTCTTCTTAATTTTAATTTTTTTTTTTTCCAAATGACTCAACTTCACTGGAGGGGCTTTTAAAAAAAGGACTCCAGAAAGATTGGCAGCACTTGAGTGACAAGTCCTCCTTTAGATTGGTTTGTCTGCTGAACAACTGAATGGAACAAAGCTGTATTTTCTCACCAGTTCCACCAGCCGTTGTCTATAGCCATTGTAAAATGAGACAAAAACAAAGACATTTAATCCAGTTTCAAAAAGGAAAGGAACTGCAGTTTTTTTTTTTTGTTTGTTTTACTAAGAAGTTGGCAAATGTTTATTAAAGAAATGCCAACAATGTACATCTTGGTGTGCTCATGGCTCATGTAAACCCCCAGCATGTCAGCAATTATAACACACTTCCAGCAGAACTGATAAGAGGGTGTAATACCAGCATATTCTCACATCTTATCCACTTGTGGAATTGCTTCTCAACATCCTCACTCTTTGAATCACTCCTACACTTCGTGAGAATTTCAGATTTTACCACTGTTTTCCAATCCTGTAGTATGTCTGCAATGTGCAGTGCTTTCCCTGCTCTAATTCAGCTCATCGTCAAGCCCTTCATGGTCAGGGATGTTGGGGTCACTGGCCTAGATTTTTCTAGTAGGTAGATAATGAGCTAATGACTTCCGTTTTCCACATAACGTCACAGAGGCATTCATAGGCTTGTTCCACTCCAGTCCTTTTGCACTGCACAAAGGGAGATTTGAGTTCTCCCTGCACATTTTAGAAGTATTGTGACATTCCACTTGGGTAATTCTCAACTCTCTGCTCAAGCTAGCTGGCTAACTGAGAAATCCAGCTTTGAGAAATACCTACCTGCTTCAGTTTGTTCAAGCTCAGTTAGGTTGTTTGTGTCACGTGGTAGAGCAGGAAAAGTTTCGTCATACTCATTTCGTTTGAGGTGTTGTTTAAAGGAACAGGTAACACATTTCTAATTGATGTTAGTTTGAGGAGCCTTTAAATAAAATTTATTTAAATAAAAGTTAAAATATACCTTAAGTTTAATGTATCAACGTTAATTACAACCATTAACTCTTGTCCAAAACTTTAATATTCAGGTTTTGTAAAGATTCTTAGCTTGAGAAAGGCAGTGTTAATCTAATCTCCCCTGCTTTCCTTCCTTGCTGTGAGCAGTTGCAGACTAACTTTAGGAGGAGAGTGATTAATTTGGTGCTTCAGCCACAACCTTTATTACAATATGGTCAGACCTCTCCTGACCTACTCTTTTCCAAGAGGTTCTGGTGCTGTCTTTAAGAAACTCTTGCTAAAGCTAATAAACATGTGAGAATGCAAGGAATGCCTGCAGGATTCTTTCTGTTAGGTCCTCGGTCATTTTGTGAGGGCCTGATAAAAACATTTGTGGTAGGTCAATAAGTTGAAACTTTTTAAGCATTTCAAAATCTAATCTTTTATGATCACCATAAAGGTGGGCATCCACTGGAGATTGCAACATCATTAACAGTGGTTGTGATTGATGTAAAAGTTTCTATGGAGAGCTTGTACCTGTATTTGCATACTTGTATGCAGCTTTTGTAGGAACCTCACACCGTGGACCATGTACTGGACAACGTCAGCCAAACTACTTAGTCAAGAGAATGGGAAATAATGTTTCTTCTGATATTGCCAAAAAAGCATGTTTCAGAATCAGCATGGACCTTGTTTCTCACCCTTACACCTGTGGAGGTAGCAGGTAATAAGGCCTCCTCTTGACATTTTAATTATTTATAATGATACACCAGGCGAATATTTTTCTTTTGTACGTTCTTTGCGTAATTAAATTTGTTACATGATGTGAAGAAATAGTATACTGAAGTGTTGAGAATTCCTCACCATGCATCTTGCTAAGGTAATTATAGTCAGGGACGCAACTATCATCTTAAAATATGCTTTAAAGATTCAGACTCTTTCCTTTTGTAATATTCTGGGTTTTCAGTGTTTCTTAGGCTTGAGGAAGGTAATGTTAAGTCTCACATCCCACTTTCCTTCCTTGTTGTGAGCAGTTGCAGGCCAGATTTAGCCTCTGTATTAACTATCCACTCATGGGGCAGGAGACACAACCTTTATTACAGTATGGTCAAACCTTTCCTGATATTTTGCTAAGAGGTTCTGACCCTGTCTTTAAAAAACACTTGTGCTGAAGCCCATCAGAGGTCAACCCAAGCACCTTTGAGGTCTTAGAAGAACTTTAGAATTCTTTTTGCGAAGTTCTTGGTCATTTTAGTCAGCACCTGAGCGAAGCATTGGTAGGTCAGTGGCTTTGGTGCTGTTTAAGCAATTCCATGTCTAAACCACACCTTTTATAATCACCATTGTGAAGTAGGGCACCATTCAGGGATGGCAACATGATAAACAGTGGTTGTGATTGATGCAGTGTGGAGAGCTTGTATCTTTGGGCTTTGCACAGATTTCTTAATGATCCCACCCTGTGGATCACCTACTTGAGAGAATGGGGAAAGGCAGCCTCCCCTGATTTCCCCAATGAGGCATGTCCCAGGATCAGCATGATTCACCTTGATTGTCACCTTTCATCTTTCAGCCTCATCTATGCCAGGCACCGGATGATAAGGTAATGATACATCAGGAAAATGGTGTTCTTATGATGTGTACTAGTTATATATGTAGTTAAGGAAGGAGTAGCTTGCCAGTTAGCTGTTTAGCCATTGGGCTAAAATGCTAACACAAGCTAATAATCCAGTGCTAGCGTAAGTGTAACGTGGTTATCAGATCCTTAATTAATAAACACAAATCCACTAATATTTAAATTGAGAAGCGAAGAACACAACGCAACCAGAATTGGCAAATTTGCCAGTAATCCATCCCTGGACAATCTGTCTGTCCAGGGATGGATTACTGACCAGGCCCATGCCCAGGGCCCTTCCACCCACAGGACCCAGGGTGTCTCAAATACTTGTGACGATCCACTGCTGATTTAAGAATTAGATTAACAAGCTGCCCTTGAAAGTGCACAAATAAATGAATTTAGTTTTTTTTAATTAAATTGCTTTTAATATTTCTGTGTTTGCTGTGTTTATGAAAATGGTGTTGTTTTAGCAGGTGGAGGGGCCTCGCAAGACTACGATTTATGCCTGTGCTCACCTGAAGGCCTGGTCAGGAATTCACTCACCATCTCAGAAGGTACACTTTTAAAGTTGCCAAAAAGGTTTTTTGAAGCAATGACGGAAGAACCACTTTTGGTTCTCTTACAAACCTTTCAGTGAGTGGTTCTTTACGGTGGTTCTGTAAATGTGAAGAAGCTTTTTAAACTTTGCAGAACCTCAACATAACTTGGTATAGAACCTTTACATTTTTTTCCATAGAACCATGTTGGAACTTTGAGAGTGTATGTGGTCCAGGAATACTATTGGTTCCTCTCTCTGCTTCCTGTCCTGCACATTTTAATGTGTTTCCTGCTCTAAAGCACCTGATCCATTAACAGCTCGTTAACAAGCTCTTCTTTCTGGTGCCTGGAAATCATAGTGAAGTCAAGCCAAGTCAAGCAGGTTGAAGAGGCAGAGAGGCACTTTGGCAGGGAATAGAGGCAGGAAAACTCTGCACCAAAACATCTGTCCTCTGTCCCTTTCTGTCTTCATTGTACAGGGTTTATTTCAGTGGGGGTGCTCTACTTGGAATTTCTCTGGAATGCTTGGCGCTCAGGAATGTCAGTTTGCCATCGGGCACAGGATTAAAGAGTTTTACGCCTGCAGTCTGCCAGTATTTATTAACCTTTAGTAATGAGGCTAATCCTGACAAGTTCATCACTTTTTCTGGGAGAGGACTGAGAAACCCTGTTAATGTATTTCAGTTCTGATGCTCAGCATCAGGCGAGCTTTATGAAGAGGCATGAGCAGCAGTATTTGCATATTCTGCTTGGCTTTGAGTCATGGACCTGAGGAACCTTGCATGAGGCATCACTCAAGCAATCCTCTTGAGTTTTATATCATCAAGTTGAACTTAATTTCTGATGCTGGACTATTGCCTTGGCTTCTTGGTGCAGAGAAAAACCCAGTGCTTTTTGAATGCTTTGCAAACCTCACCTGCATGAACTGACCTTTCTGATGATACCGCTGCTGCACAGACTCAAACTATTTAATTATAACCATTGCTTCACCTGTTTTTCCCTGTTTCTGTATTTTAATATTTTATAATAACGTTAAAATCTTATCCTTTGTTCATTTTGCTCGTGTTACTGTTTGTTATCTAGTGTCGACCAGAGGAGGATGGGTTCCCTGTTGAGTCTTGGTTCCTCTCAAGGTTTCTTCCTCTTGCTGCTTGGAGTTTTTCCTTGCCATTGTTGCCATTGGCGACACTCAGCAGGGCACAAACCCAGATTTTTCTGTAAAGCTGCTTTGCGACAACGTCTGTTGTGAAAAGCGCTATATAAACACACTTTGACTTGACTTGAAACATAGTGATCTGAATATAATTTATGCAATATCAGCAGTAAAGAAAATGAAAAATAGATCTAAATAAGATATATAATAAATTGAAAGAGAATATATGTCTATAATAGATATAACAACTTGAGAAATTACATACAGTCCTGCTTGAAAGTTTGTGAACACGTTCTACATAAAAGTGCCCAAAAATATGATGACAATAGAGAATCCAATAAAACAAATAATAGAAACGATTATGTAGTTTTTAAATCATTTATTAAACAAAAGTGATTCAATATTAAATGTCTTTATTGATCCCTAGAATTATGAGTTTGGTGTATGTGATAATTAGGGTCAGAAAGTTCTATCAATTGGATGACAATCAGATGTGAGTGTGGTTGACCGCACCCTATTTAAAAAAAACATCAACCTGAGTCATCTTTACCACACACCTTTGTTAATGCATGCCATGTCTTAATCAAATGAGAATTCTGAGGAACTAATGAGCCAAAGCTCATTAGGCTGGCAAAGGTTCCGGAACTATTTTTGACAAGTTTGGGCACCAATCTACTCTGTAAAAAATAAAAAAATCTAACCTTCATTTAAGGTATAATGATAAAGAAAAAAAAATGTCATGGAAAAAATACATTTCTTAAACCCATGTGTGCCACAAGGTTGTTGAGCTGCACAAATCAGGAAATGGCTACAAGAAAATGACTATATAACAGTTGGAAATGCCCATTTCTACTATCAGGTCAATAATTAAGAAGCTTAAAACAACTGGAAATGTTAAGAAACTGTCAGGAAGAGGACATATGTCAATACTGACCCCCCACACAGTGAGGAGGATGGTTCGAGTGGGCAAAGAATCTCCAAAGATCATGGATGGGGAATTTCAGACATTGGTTTGATCCTTTGCCATGTGTTCACCTCATTAAGCGTTATAGGAGAAAACTCAGAGCTGATATCTTTGCAAAGTAAGGCTGCACAATGTATCAAATGAAGCAGTGGCAATATATATATATATATATATATATATATATATATATATATGCGCCTGTCTAAAGTTTCCTAAAGTTCACCTGGGTGAGCCAGAAGACTATTAAAAACATCTGGATGAATAAAGTAAAAATGTATCTTTTGGCTTAAATAAACAATGTTATATTTGGCAAAACCGAACACTTCACTCCAGCATAAGAACCTCATCCCCACTTTGAACAGATTCCTCCAAGTTTATGTATAGGGATGAACAGTTATAGGAGCCATTTGGTTGAAGTTGTTGCTGCTGAGGGGGTCACACCAGTTCTTGGAAGCAGAAGTTCACATACTTCTGCCAACAAAGACATGTTAGATTCCTTAGTTCAATGAATGAATGAAAATGAATTTTATTCGCTGAATTGGGTTCTTTTTATCTGTTATGCATATGAGTTGAATAAAGATCTAATCATATTTTTAGGTCAAATTTATGTAGAAATTCACAAAATGATCAAGGGCTTACAAACTTTCAAGCAGCATCCTGGATAGGAAATGATCTCTTGCCTAATTGATGGGTCTTGATTTGCACCTTCAAGTTAAGCAAAAATATGTTTTAATAATAAGTACATACACCATATATGAAAATTTCCCTTTGCAGCAAATCAGTCATAATATTTTGTCACAACACAATGAAAGACGCCAACTAAGCAAATTCATAAAATAAATACATGGAAACTCTGATATTGATAGAAAAAGAACATAGTAGAACAAGTTACACTCCTTTATTGCAAGCAGTTCTGACTCCTTAAACCCCTTATACAGTGTTGTCAGGGATGTAAAACTACTGGATGAGTCAGGTTTCTACCTGCCAGCTTCTTTGACACTCACTGGATAACTGTTCTTGTTATCCTCTCAGATCTCTAAGTAGGTCTGTGTGGTAGTTCTTGCACTACATGAGCACTTAGCATGCTGGTTGTTTGATCCAAGCAAGTCTATAATTGCCCTCAAAGGATGCATGGTGAGGCATCATCATCACTTCAGTAAAGGATCTCTGAATTTTAGTCTTTAATCCTGAAAATTACATCACTAACCAAAAGAGGGAACTAGTGAGTCAGAGCACAAGACATCTTCATTCAGGCTTATCATTAAGAGAGAATTTAACTGTGCTGCAGCTAGCCGAAAGGTCTCACTTTATTTGGAGTATTATGGTCAGGATTTGGACCAGGTTTAGGTTTTGGGTGGAGGTTAAGATTAAGGTTAGGATTTGGACAGGGATTAGGACTTGGCTGAGGGTTAGGTTTAGGTTTTGGGTTGAGGTTAAGGTTGCAATTAAAGCATTTAATTAGCTTGTAATTTCTTCACAATTAAATCATTAAGATTAAGTCTGTTGGTAAATGGGAGAATTTATATCATTCCATTGAAGAACTCTTGGTCCAAGATTACTTAGAGAACACTGATTTTGTCAGTAGTACTTTTCTACATTGTGTAGTTTTGCCTGTTTTTTGTTATAACTATTTCTGACGCTCTGGTGTTTGTAGGTCTCTTTGACCTGTGAACCTGTTTTTTTGCTTCTCTGCCTCCCCCACCCACCTTTCCTGCCTCCCCCACCCACCTTCCCTTGTGAAAAGCAAACAAAAGTTGATCATGGCTTGATGTGAAATGCTTATTGTAGAGAAACTTAACAAGACTGAACTGTTCACAGCAATGAAGATGGAAACATCCAAAGAGTTTAACGTCTCTAAAAGCTTACATGGTATGTAAGCTACACAATGTAGAAACCTATACAACTATACAATGTAGACATGTACCATTGAGAAATCAGTGCTCTCTGTAAGTGTCCCTGGGTCTAGAGTTCTCTTTACCGTAGGTTTCTGATAAGGTTTTAAATACAGGGTGTTTATGGAAAAATGGTACCAAAAGAAGCATTGTCACTGAGCATGGTGAACTAGGCTCATGTGTGGCTGCTTCAGAGCATCCCATTCTATTAACAATGCTTTTTTATGGAGATTCTACAAGCTCTGTGTTTGTGCGTGTGTGTGTGTGTGTGTGCACACATGCAATTGAATGCCTTTGTCAGCGACAGGTGCACCTTAAATTTATCCAGGAGATTACAGGACATGTAACTTCTTGTGAACACCTTTCTGAACAGCATACAATAGACACTGTTCAATAAACAAAGCTGTCAGGGCCCAAATGATTCTGGTAAGGAGGGATTGCCAAAAAACATGGAAGAAGAGATGGAGGACAGCAGTGTGAAGATCAAGGGGATGGTCTTTAAATGCTGCCATTTAATTAGTCAGAATAGGAGTGTGTAAAAGGATGCTGTAATCTCTCAAGGGAGAAAAATGACTCATGAAAATGAACAACTAAAAACTTCCATGAAGCTGTTAGGTATTGGAATTGGAGGACTCTTATCATGTCACACTGATGAGACATAAGCGCTGGGTTTTCCCCTCCACAAAGAAGCCGAGGCAGGAGTCCAGCATCAGAAATCAAGTTCAGTTTGATAGTGCTATATAACTTGTGGACTGTTTGACTGATTCTTCAGGTCCACTATTGAAAGACAAGCAGAAAATGCAGAGAGTGCTGCTCATGCCTCTTCACTAAGCCTGCCTGATACAAAGTGTGAGTGAGGTTCTCATTTGTGCCTCCAGAAAACAAACTTTAATGAATTTGTCAGGATTAGCCTCATTACCAAAGTGTAATATTAGCAGGCTGTAGGCAAATTTGCTAATTAGAAGGGAGGATCTGGATACTTCTGGATATGTAGTGTAGCAATGCATAAGCACACATTTACAACGTACCTGTCACCCATAGTCAAATTCAATTTTCATTACCAATATTCAAAGTTGCTAAAGTTTACTACCTGTAAAAAGTAGTGTTTGAGTAATATGAGCAAATACTTTTTGATGCTTATCTGAAATGAAGTGCTTCATTTAAAAAAAAGCTTTTAAAGAAGATGTGGTATTTAATGAAAATGTGGTATCTTCTTGACTCGTCTCGATGTGAACTACTGCCCAGACAAATTCCTGGTGAGTGATGTCTTACTTGGGCAAGGAAACCAAATTCTGCTAATTCTGATTCTATCATCATATTTCTGTAAAAATCCTCAGTCTTATGGCCATGTGATCTTTGTTCAAAAGAATTGTAGGGGAAGTGGTGTGGTTTTTGAGAAACTCCCATGTCTTCCATCCACTTTACATCCTGCCAGAACATCACACCAGGGGAAAGAAAGGAAGGCATTTTCGTCATTTGACTTTTTTGTTTTAATAAATAAATTCAAAACAGCATGGCAACAGTGAACATGTTGAAAAGGCACTTTAAAATAAAGGACTTGTCAAGCTAGCATTTGATGCATCTCCAATACTGTAATACGGTCTCTCCAAACATCAGTATTTTCTAGTTGTGCTAGATCTCGCTTGATGTCAAACAAATAATTCTTAATTATTTTACACCATTAAATGTGTACACTGCATTGTAAAAATCGAGCCATTAAATCTCAGAAAGACAGAATGTTAAACTACATAACCGTACCATGAAATTATTTTCCACAAATCCAAACAATTTTGTTACAAAAAATGGCACCAGTGGTTTCAAACCAATTCGCTGCTCAGCTAAAGTCTACTTTTAAATGCATAGGTCTTTTTACACACCATCTGACTATGTATGACCTCACAGCATATACAACATATTCTGTCATAAAATTATTTTCAGTGAAGGCCAATTCATCACCCTGTGAGAATGGGATAATACTGAGGCAAAGCTAAATGGCACTAAATCAGAAAATGTGTGTGTGTGTGTGTGTGTATATGTATGTATATATATATATATATATATATATATATATATATATATATATATATATATATATATATAACACACACACACATATATACACTGTTTTGTGTCTGTCCTCTTATCCGGTGTCGACCAGAGGAGGATGGGTTCCCCTTTTGAGTCTGGTTCCTCTCAAGGTTTCTTCCTCCTTTTGAGGGAGTTTTTCCTTGCCACTGTCGCCAAGTCTTGCTCACTGGGGACCCGGATTCTTTGTAAAGCTGCTTTGTGACAACATCTGTTGTAAAAGGCGCTATAGAAATAAATTTGACTTGACTTGATAGATATATATATATATATATATATATATATATATGAAGTATGCAAAGTTTCCTTTTTATCTAGCAAAGTGAATTGGCCAATTTGGAGCTTATTTACTGGACTAATCTAATAGTTTTATCTTTCCGTTGCTCAACTGCACATCAGTAATGAATATGATTTAAGGATGTCTTATGAAGGACGATCAGTAAAGGTTATTATCAGTGGCTTTTTACAGCTACTAATGATATGAAGACATTCTGCAAGTGAGGTTACTCACTGATTGGATATCCAGAGAATTGCATAATTGCTCAAAATAACAATTTAAAAAAATACAGAACAAAGAGAAAAGAATGAACACAAGACAAATGTGCTATTATAAATCAAAATTTCCAGTAGAAATGATATAGCCACTGTAGAGTGAGAATAAATTGTGGAATAAGAAATGTTTGATAACATTGCAGGATACTTGTGATTCATGGAACGCGTGTATCTATGAATTCATTGGCTTATAAGATAAGAATAAGCAGTTCCCTGATTGTCAGCTGTCGTCATTAGTGAGATGTTATATTCAGACCATTAATGGCATGTTACATATCAGTGTCATATTCATACACCCAGTCTAACGCAGAACAATGACAATTCAGGATTTATACAGCCGTCTGTACAGAAACGCAGAATGACCAAAGCAGATAATCATTAGCAGTCTTCATAAAACGTTGTATGATACTTCATGAGCCGCTTTATGGGCGTCTTTTGCCTCGCAACATTAAACAAAATGTTCTTGCATCATTGTGAAAGGCATAAATGTCTGTCCTGTGTAAAAGGAAGGATATAACAGTACTCAAAAAAATACAGATGCAAATAAAAAGTCTATACAAACTGTACACTTTTTTGCAATGAGTTGATAGGAGCCACATAAGTGTCGTGTCCTAATGCAGTGCTACAATATAAAATGCACATTTCTACAAAATAAAATGAAAGGTTTAAATGGAAGGACATAATATTTCAAAGTCAAATTAAGAACATTGTTATGAACATATTGGACGCATCCATTATTTGCCTTCATATTTGGGATTGACCACAGTTGTAACAGCACTCTTGTAGATTGGATTTTCCCCCTGTAAAGAGAAGACACAATTAGATGACAAACAGGACAACTATTGTCATTTATTTGTGAGTGTTAGTCTGGGCAAAAAGCCTAAAGTTTATAATCAATTTTTTAATGCATCAATTACAGTAATCAGGCAATTAGTACACCAGTGCATTACTTCATGCTTTAGTAGGATATATAACTGATAAAACCACAAACACACACAATTTACTAAACTATTTGGCAGCCAGCTAAGATAGTATGTACAGAACTGTGCAAAAGTCAGTGACCACCCTTCATTTATTTCATTTCTAGTCAAAATGGCCATTAATTTATTCAGTTAACAGAAAATTACACAGGATCTTCAACAACTGGTGACATCTTTTTTTGGTATTTAGTGAATCCACCCTGTACCTTTATTACAGCTTCTGTTCTTTTTGGAAGACTTTCTTTCAGTTTTACTAAGAAACCTGCAAGGATGTTTTTACAAACCTCTAAAGTTCAGTCCTATAAGTTGTTTGCATTTCCTGTTTATTTAAGCCTATCACTATGTAGGGCCATGTTTAGACTGCAGGCAAATCGGATTTGTTTATGACATCAAATCTTTTAAGATGACTGTTCGCACTGTTATTTGCAAGTGATCAGATCAGATTTGTGTGTCCAGACGTCACCGACCTATCTGCATTGGTCACTCTGGTAACGATGTAGGCATCAGTAACTACGTAGCTATGCTGGTGACCTGAATTTCAAACGTGGATGCAGGAGAGATGGAGGTGCATCATCTCACCCTCCAGACTCTTCAAAATTCTCTGGCATAAGCATGAATTTTGGCAGTCTTCTTAAATTCCAGCAGTTCCATCACTCTGGATTTGAAATTCTTGTTTGTTGACACTTGGTTAAAATCACATTTCAATCACATTTCAGATTTGCAAACATCTGATTTCATGTATGTGGCTGTCCAGACCATCAAAAATCAACCTGGATTACAATTAAGGGTGGTCCCTGACTTTTGCACAGTATTGTATACAATATTTCAAAATAACATTCAAAATAAAGGTCATAGTGATAAAGTGGGATCTAAAGCGAACCACACTGAACGTGTTTAAGTAATGAACTGCTGTACTTTTTATTTCCCTACAATTGCATACTTACCTCAAAGAGAAACACTATGAATTTGTGTTACATAATACTTAAAGAAAAAAAAACCCACTAACAATATTTAAAAAAACTGAACCACACACAGATCCTCACACAGGGCATAAAGACCATGCAGAGGCGAGTGGAAAAGAATACACACTTAAAGAGCAGCAGTTTTACGTCCATAGTTTGGATTCTGGAACTTATTAATAGGACTCTTGTAAATTGGATTCTCTTGCTAAGAAGGGGAAAAAAAAACAGGCACAGAAAGAAGCTGAAGGAAAGTTGAAAGAGGAAGTGATGGAAACATGAAACATAATACAAAGAAAGGAAAATGACAAAAAGAGATAGAGAAAGAAAGATTAACAGAAAAAAAGAAAAAGGCTACTGAATGTTTGGAATTTATCATAAAAGGGGGAATTCTCAATTTCTGCATAATCCAGTGGTTGTTATTCAGTGTGGTGTGATGTGAAATGGTGCACTGCAGGGAGACTTAGCAAGTCAGGAACCAGGGGTTGCAATGTCTACAATGCAAATATAGCCATTTTATTTATTATCTGAGATAAATATTGAACATATGCAAGTCTTCTGTGTATTAAATCTATAACTAATTATTTTATTTGGGTGCTATTTTGCCTTACAGTGCCCTGCATGTACCTTTCTGCCACAAAAAAATCAGATCAAAACTTTATCTCAAAACTAGGGATGCATCTATATTGATACTGGTATCGGGCCTATACTGTGCTTTTTTACTCATACTTATAAAATATACCATCCAACACCAAATAATACCACGTTACATAAGCCGTGTGTACACTGCCGCACTAATGAATAAATGACTCTGACAGTGAACAAGACTCTGCTCACGCAGATAGGTGTTGCTGATGCAATGGAAGTTGGACACAAAATTGTTGGTCACTTTAAACATTCTGCCATGGCAAATTCCAAGTGATTTTAGCCTGTTTTTAAACACAGTCAAACACAAACACAACCACTTCCCCAATATGGGTGGACACAGGCTAGCAAAACAGAGGCAAAAAAACTATTTCCTACCAAACTCTCTATATGCCTTTACTCTTACTCTGTTTACCTGTATAGAGCTGTGAGGTATAAACATTAATATGCTGATTTTATATGGCTTTAGAAAGACATATAATAGACATATAATCTTACTCAGTACATCAGTCCCTGGTTTTAGTTTCAGTGCACAGTGACAACAATTCAACAAAGCTGCTGTAGCTCAGTTTCTCTTGAAAAAGCTGTTTGTAGGGGCTGTGTTTCACAAAGCATGTCAGTCAGACTCAGCGTTTTCATTTTCATACATTTCAGACAACCTCTACAGGGAACTTAAATATGGCATTGTATGTTTTCCAATATGTTAAATTCAGCAAATAAACAGTAAGTGTGCATTAAAACGTGCAGAAGTGTGTTCACTGTAGAAAATGTTTTAACTTATTTTCACTTAGAAAATCAACAAAATGTAACTTAAGCAGTGGTGCACAAACTTTTGCATACAACAGTATCTTTTAGAGGCATTAAATGCTTCATATGACTGGTTTCCATCACCACCACTGTGAACAATTCTGACTCTGCTAATTTCTCTGAAACTGATCATTTCACATCAAACCACTCTGAATGACTTTGTTTACATCTTAACAACCATTTCATTTTGAATAAGTGATATTCCTCTTCAATACAGACACTGTTCTTCACAAGACTGCAGACCTTTTTTCTCTGCATAAAATGATATATAGGGTTGTCATGATTGCATGATTAAATTCAGTTAAACTCTAATTATTGAAACTTAATCTTTTCAATAAATCAGAAATGATTGGTTAGCAGTTTGCATGAAAATACATGCTTCAAATTCTCCTACTGCTCTTTGTTACTGTAAGAAACAGAGCCTAATAGACACACCTACTAATATGCATTTTCCCACACATTTTTATTATTATTATATTATTTATTATGTTATTATCCTTGTTTAACTTGCTACAAGTAAATATTTTGATCTTTTATAGGCTATGCGTGGTTTGTTACTGTTTAGTCCATTTTTATTGTTTGGCTTCTGTTTAGACTGAATCAAAATAATTGACAGACTAAATCACTTATATAATCAGTAGTGACAGTCCTAATGATATGTGGTACAAACACAATGTACAATGTCCCTAATGGTTCCAATAAGGTCATATCAGGTTTGAAACACGATGGAACCCAGAGCACTCGCCCCAACATTCATCACAAGCTGCACAGAGACTTTGAAGATGTTTTTAATCACAGACACTGATAGTGTGGGTTATCTGTAGCTGACATCAGGACGTTAATGAGAGGGCTATAAAGCTTCAATGCCCAGCCTGAATCACTCAGCCTCATATGAGGATCCTATATGCTGAAAGAAGAGGTCTGTATTCGAGATTAAAGCTCAAAAGTTACTGCTTATGAAAACAGCCATAACTTATAAGCATCATAACTTGGTCTGGTTAATCCAATGATAAAATAAAAGCATGAAATTCTGGCTTTTGATTTATTTTGTGATTGCTTAGTTTTTCATGGCTCGAGCGTGGGAGCTGATATGTCTTTAATGTGGGACCATGCAACCTTTCATTTCTGAACCACAGAGGGCAGCACTGAGGCACCCAGCCTGCCAGACCAGCCTAAACAGACCACACCTAGGAGAAAGCCTCAAATCTAAAATGTCTCTCTCTCTCTGCAGCTCTACAGCTGCTAGAATCCTTCATCTAATCCTTACACCCACTTGCTTGAATAGTATGCCTGTGAATAACATTTCAATGAACCAAGTGACATCTGGATGGGTTTAAAGATCATGATGGAGGAACAAAAGGGCTTCTGTCACAGTCTTAGTCTGCTTTTGGCTGTAGCAACAGTGCCCAATTCTGTCTCTAGAAGAATCTAGTCTTCATCCTGGCTGTAATACTCTCTGTATCAAGCCTTATGACCTAACTCAAAAAACACCAACTCCATTCTGTAAATCTTGTGTGAAAACTTATAGCCGAAGAATTTTCTTACCGTGTCCCATTTGGCATTCATTTTCTCTTTCTCGAACTTAGCAAACTCGCGGCGGTCATGAATGATCATGAGCAGCTTCCAGATTAACAGCAGGGCCAGACCAATCAGCACGATTCCAGCAACCACTCCCGCCACAATGGGGATGATGTCAGGACCAGCCGGGCATTCTGGGAAATACAGAAGTATGGGAATATATCTGTTTATTACCTCCTGCAATTCTCTGTTTTTCTTTCATGTTTGTATCCCATTGGACATGCCTGTTTGTCTTATTTGGTGACTAAATTACCAAGACTGGACAGTCGTATGCAAATGTTTAAACACCTCCTGTCAAATGACGTTTTGTTGATTATCTAAGTGAAAATAAGCGTCGTCTACAGGGAACTGAAATATGCCATTTGTGTGCCTAGTCTAGACATACTGGAGAAAAATAAAACATAAAATATAATGTGTGCCATAACTTTTAGACGGGCCACTGTTTTGTATGTTAAATTCAGCAAATAAACAGTAACAATAAATATATACGTACATACATATATATATACATATATACATACATGCATGCACACAGTATATTATTCATCATTTATTAACCTGTTGTTCTAAAAAAAAGTTGAAAAAATATTGAACAAAATCTAAAAATATAATCTATTTTCCAGTTCTTTAAAATGAGAAGTGACTATAATGTATAGTAGTGTATATCAGTCTTTTTCTTTCTGGATTTACCTAAAGTCTCCACGACATGGACCTCTGTGTAGTTGTTGACGGCGTACGTGTAGTAGAACCAGCAGTCGTTGGCATCTCTCTCCTTGCAGTGCATGAGAGGGAAGGCCTGCACTGGCTGGGGCAGCTTGTCCCTGTCTTTCACCTTGACCAGAGTGAAGTAGTTGCAGTCTTGCTCACAAGTGTCCTTCTTCTCTCCTGTACCAAAAGCCCGGCACTGAACGCATGCCCTGTGAGAGAGGACAAACTGCATGTTACCCACATGGCTGAAATGAACTCACATGGTGTTATGTGCTGTATGAGTGGAGAGTCTATGGTCAGCAGCATAAATATTCTTAAAATAGTTAAACATTCTTCTTCATGTTTAACTAAATGGTCCTGCATGCATACTTGTGTTCAGTGCAGACCCCAGGGCAGGTGGGGCAGATCTCACAGGTGGGTCCTTGGAATTTGGGGTCGGTGCACCTGCAGGTACCGCACTCACAAAGGCCTCTGCCATTACAGATCTGATTGTTGGAGGCCAGACAGGTGGAGGTGTCTAGAGAGCAGTCACACGCGCTTCCTGTGTAGTTGGCATCACAAATGCACACTCTGCATTCACAGCGGCCGTGGCCTGGACAAAGAGAGAAACAGTGAAGGAGATGAGGTACAGTGATAATATGCTGCTCCTGGATATTGTTTTCTTTGTTTCTTTCCACAAAGTCAGCAATGTGTGAATGGTTTTATATACCAAAACCATCATAGTTCATTTTTTCCATTGCCATTTATCAACCTCTGTTTATCTCTTATAATAGTTTTTTTTGTAGGGCTTTTTAGACTGACATATGTAAATGGCCTCAGCTCTGACTGACTGCCCTGTATTTTGCCTCTTTCAAAAAGGAGTCCAGACTGATGTAAAGAAGAAACTGTTAAGCCCAGACTGAAATCCTCAGGGAAGTTGGAACAAATAAACTTCAGCCACTCCTTTCTGATGTTTGGGTCTTTTAGAAGGCTGCAGTGATACATGTGCTTCCTGTCAGCCAGGAATACAGCCTTTTTTGAAGCATTCCTCCTCACATCTGCTCTAATATTTCTCCTACAGACTGTCTGTAGTAACAGCCATCAGCCACTTCAACATGAATCAGTGGGCTAAACTCATACAGGCTGCACGTAGATGTAAAGACACTTAATATAAAGTGGAACCTGTGATTCTTTTAATCGGTCTTCTTCCCAAAGCTGGGGTTACACTAGACGATTTTACCCCGACTTTAGCTCAGATTCTCAGAGTCTTGTACACTCTGGGGCTGTCCAAGGATGAAGTTGGGAGAAACTGAACTGTGTGCGAGGGGCACACACTCCGATTTTTTGCCTCCTGTTCTCATCTTATAGTGTACAGTGGTCAGTGACTCACTCTGAATAGATTCTCCCAACAGTCAATAAACTTTTACGCTGTTCATTTTAGGACATTATTACCCCATGGTGTCAGGTTCAGACTGAAAAACAGCTTTAGCCTCAAGAAAGACACGAGTAAAAACATCTCAGCTCTTGTTCATTATTCACTTCAGTTTAAATTACAGGACGAAATGGTAAAGCAAAAAAATATATATATATCACCCCCAATCCAGTTTAACTGTTTACCACTGTTATTTTCCACACAGTTACCCGAATCAGAGGACTCAGACACAGGCCTACTATCTGTGTTTCTTGGTAATGGGAGAGTCCATTTCAATTCAGCCCAATATTTCAGTCATCAAAAATCAGTTATTTAGCATGAGCTATCCAGTATTTTACAGTTATGGTTTTGTGTAATGTATAAAAGTCTGTAACTGGATTGTAACTTAAATCACTGCTTGAGCAGCAACACAGCCCCAGTCAGATGGCAGAGAATGTGTAGTACCTCCACAGAGCTTGTTGTTGGAGCGGTCGCAGTTGAAGTTGTCACACTCGCAGTATTTGCCGCTGTAGTACTCCTCAGGGTTGTCCCTCTTCTTACACTCGCACTTTCCGCACACACACTCTCCATTGTTGCTGCAGAGGTCTGTGCCGTTGTCTTTGCGGCAGTTCCTATCCAGGTCCTCACTAGACACCTCGTCCTTCCTACACTCACACTCTCGGCCAATACGGCCCTTGTTGCACCTGAGAGGAAGAAAAGAGGAGAATACAACCTCCAACTGTGCAAATACTAACAGGCTACTGTATTTAAAATGGTATAATAATGATAGAAATACTAAAGTTTCTTTTTTAAAATTATTATTTAATGGTTAAAAAGCATACTCTACAGGCTGGTACATATGCCTGTATTAACACACATTTAGCAGCATATTGCCGTAATCATAGCAAAACAGTATCTGCCTGTCTGCCATCAACTACCCTTCAGGGATAACTAAAGTTCTATTGAACTGAACTGAAAACCTCCTTTGTCCTAGTTGTTAAGGCTGCAGTTCAAGGATGTGTCCAGAATTGTTAAAGAAAACCAACACACAACAATGTTGGAGTCAAAACTGAATAAAGGATATAAATTCTTAGTGGAAGAATTCCTTCATCAGCTAACGTCTACAGAGTGATAAACATGACACAAAAAGCTAGGTTATCCTTGTTAGCTGGAGAGCTTGAAACAGCTTACTAACAAGAAAATATTTAGAAAAACACACACACACACACATGCCGGTGGGGGGCGTGCAGCATCGTCACTGTCCGTAGCACTACTGTAGATGTTTTCCACAACCATCTACTCCCCGCCGGGCACTTGCTCTGTTAAATGCCGACAGTTTTTGATGGGGGACATGAAAACTGTTCCACTGAAAGCGGCTGGGAACAGCACCAACTTTAAAGCACATACTGCCTTCGGTGTAATGTTAGTAGCATTTAAATGCTGACACAACGTTACTTCCTCTCCTTATGACAATTACATTCTTCTATCCCTCCTAAATGCACAAATCATATGTCTTCTGCTCATCGTCAGCTGGGGAACCATAGAAACTGAGGTAAGGTTGTTTTTGCTTTGAGCTCAAACACTTGGGTAAGCTGTAAGCTGTACTCTGCTGCCATTGTTATTGTTGTTGTTTTAGCAGAAGCAGCCACACCCTTCAGCGAGCACTTCAAGCAGAAAAACACGGAAACGTGAAAAGGGCCTATTAGTGAATTCAGCTACTTTAAGCTAAACCCACTGCTGATACAGCCGTTCAGGACATGAGCCAAAGATTACCATGCCTAATGTCGTGTCAGCTAGAGGCGTATAAAGCCCCCCAGAATTGGGCTATAGAGCAGTAGAACTGTGTCCTCTTGATGATGAAGCTCTGTTCGATACCTCAGAGATGTGAACTACCTTTGTGATCCAGAAGTAATCTAACATCAGTACCTGACCTCACTAATGCTCCTGTGGCTGGATGCAATCAAATCCTCACAGTAACGTTCCAACATCTAGTGTATAGCCTTCACAGGAGAGTAGAGGCTGTTACTGCAGCAAAGGGGGCACAAACACCCTATTAATACCCTTGATTTCAGATGAAAATGTTGGATTGTCTACAAACTTTTATGCATAAACTGTTAGTGTTAATCTAAGGTAACAAGAATTTTCTCTGATGAGGTTCTGATATGACAGTAATAACACGTAATAAAGTGAAAGACTGAACGTTAGCTGAAGGTTACCTGCAGGCTCCACACTCGAACGTGCCGTTGCCATTATGGCAGAGGTCCTTCCTGATAATGCCTTCCTTCTGGCACTCACAGTCACAGATGAAACTCAGTCTGATCTCCACTTCCTCAGTGAAGCCCAGCGGTCTGATCTTTAAAGTTTCAGTCTTGCCTTGTTTGGGGCAGCCCTGAGCAGTGATGTTTATGCTGAAGTAGACCTGGTGCCAGAAAAGATGGAAATGCAGTGAGAACAATTAGCAGGTTTTAGTCTTTAGCTTTTAGGTAAGTGTGTCAATCATTTAGGCTCAATAACAAGGAAAAACAATTCACATAAATGAACAAAAGTATCTTCACATTTCTGCAATAAACATTACACATTTGTAAATTACATTACCATCACAGCTCCCAACCCACAATCTACACTGTCAGTGTAGTAAAGCAATGAACCTTGATGTCATATCTTAGTCATTTTAGCACAGTCAGGGGATGTTGTTAGGCAAAGAGCGAGAAGTGGACAGGAGCATTAATTGGTGCATTAATACAGAATTTAACAAATCTGTGCACACGTGTGTTTATATTTTGAAGTGGCTTTGAATATAGCTCAACCAATCAGACTTCAGAACCAGAATTATCAGATTTATCTGTTTTGCACTCCAAATAAGGGAACTAAAGTAGAACAGTAAAATGCAGATTCTGAAAAACTGATTTGATCATTTCTGAAAGCATCATCAGAGTCTTACCTCATCTCCTATGGAAATGTTGGAGCATTTACGTCCGTCCTCTCCAACACTGACGACTCCATTTTTACAGTGGGACTGGTAGGTGATGGTCACTCCTTCAGGCAGCTTACTGTTTTCCAAAATGACCTCTGAGGATAGAGACTAAAATAAAGATAAAGATTGAGAGAAAGAATGAAAGGGGAAGAAAGAGAGAGAGTTAGTTTTAAGTTTTAATGAGTGCTTTAAATGTGAATAATTAAAGAATAATTCAGAACTGTAATGAAAGTGGATGTGCTCACATTGTAGGCATCAATGATAAGATTGATCACGTTGCTGGAGTTCGCAGACAGTGTTCCCACTGCAGATTTTGGAATGAGATTTTTCAATTCCTGTGGAAGATGGAAAAAAAAAAAAACAGAAAAATGTGTTTGGGTGTGAGCCACAGAGTAGAGACAAATATAAAACACCGCAGACTAGAACAGACTGAAATCGGGTTTGTTTTATAACAGACCCATTTATGTTCCAGCTAGGAATTCTAAACGGTGATTTTGGAGTGTGAAGAAGGCCAAGTCTGGAGCTAGAAACTATTTTCAGTGTTACAGCTTTCCAAATTCAGAGAGATGACCTCAATGAGAATTCCATTCTGCCTTGAGATTCAAATACGTGATAAGCACAATATCACAGTGGTTATTATTAGAGATTTGTTAAATTCCACTAAGAGAGAGGGGAGAAGAGTATGCTGCAGAGCTCTGATTATGTTCTGCTCAAACTGAGAACACAGGCTACAGGCCAAGGGCATATTTTTATAGACTTCAAAAGGCGGAGATTTTCCCAACTTGATGAAGGAAAAGATTTCAACTTAGAGAAAAAGCAAACTCCATAGACTAACATGAAAGAAATGTTTAACACAGACAAAAAAGTACATAATTCTTTGAGGAAACCTACTTTATAAACAGGCTGAAATTCCTCTGTAACAGCAAAGATGGTCTGGATGTTATTGTCACTCAGTTTTTGCACCAGATGGGCAATGGAGGGGTAGTCCTGTCGAACGCAAAAGAAAGAAAACAAGCCCATGTGTTGAGTAAACAAGTATTCATTTGAGCTTTTAAAATTATATGCTAAAAATAGGTGATAAATTCAAACTGTAAAGAATTTGTGTTAAAAAATGTACACTGTACATACATAATGGTGGCTCATGGTGTACATGTCGTTCTCCAGGTGGCATTTTCCATCATTAGGAAGCACAATTCCACCCAGTTTTCCATCTCCAGCAAAGTGGAAACCAGCATCCGTAGAAAACACCAGCAATCGAGTGACGTTTCTCCAGCCAATATGTTCCTGAAAAAGCACAGAGAGAGAGATAGAGAGGGAGAGAGAGAGAGGAGAGGGAGGAAGGAAGTAAGTGAGACACACAGCCAAAGAACATAAACTTTGACTGCTACCAAAACAACTACACAACCTTTCTATTCAACAAATTCTTACAGAGAGACCAAATAAATTCTCCTCTTTGAGAAAACTCCCCATCACTTTTCACTGTTTTTCCTAATACTTTGTATAATTGCATGAAAAACAGAACAAGAATTTTCCTAATTGTGCTTTAAACTTATTTCTTTAGGAACTAACTTGCTCAACGAAATAAGCTGAGAAATCCTGTCAGATAATAGTAAGTTTTATTTGTACATTTAATGCAGCTCAAAGTTCTTCACAGAGGAACGTGCCTCACAAAGGACTGTGAACTTTCAAGTGATACCACATATGTGTAAGTAGACAGAGAGATTTTATGATTTGAATTTGTTGAAAAGTTATTGTTTTTTGTACACACTTGTTAATCAGCTGGAAATCATCATCAATGTTAATGTAATTCTTGTAATCCCAAAATGACGCTAATAACTCTCAAATTCTATGTTAAGAGTTGAGCTCTCCTCACTCACCCCACAGACGAGCCACTTGCATGATGGCATCAAACCCCCCCTCTGGAGAGTCCAGGTTGCCAGAGATCTGCTGCTGACCCACCAGTGTGTTGAACCGCTGCCCGTTGCTGGTGAGTTTTAGGACGTTCTTGTAGCTGAAGGGGCTGGTGCAGTTCTGGTCTCCAGTGCAGGGGTTCAACAGCTTAGCAGGAGTAGTGCTGATATAGGGCATGACTGTCTTCTCCACAAAGGAACCAAAACCTGACATACAAATAAACATATGGATGAATTCTAGAGCTTTAAATGGTAAACGTCTGGCACATACAAACGCAGCAAAATCTTTAAATTACTAAAATTGCTTGCACAACATCACATGTTTAGATATTATCACTGTTTCCAAAAAAGGCTGGGATGCTGTGGAAAATGTAAATAAAAACAAAATGCAATGATGTGCAAATTATTTAAACTCTATATTTAATTGAAAATAAGTCTTTCAGATGTAAAATGTGGAGGGGTTCACCACTCTGTGGTAGACTGCGCAGGCAAATACTGCAACAATTCAATAATAATATTTTTCAAAGTAAAATAGTAAAGAACTTGGTAGAACATCATCTACAGTACATAATGTCATTAAATGACTCAGAGAATCTGGAAAAATCTCTGTATGCGAGAGACAACCTGTCCATCTTAAATGACTGCGTTCTGTTTTTATCTACATTTTGCACAGCAACCCAACTTTTCTGGAGTTGTTGTTGGAGTTAAAAAAATTGCCCAGTCTTAAAAAGAATGTCGCTCTATATGGAGCATTAGCCTCTGCTGTATATTTATATCTATATGCATCAGGTTAAATATGCACAGTGTAATAGTTTTGCTTGCAGTTGCGATTAAAAAAAATCTATGCTGATTACTGCATAGGGTTAGGGTAGGGTTAGGATCAGAACATCTGACAACAGACAATATTGTGCCTAACCTATAGGGCTGGGCGATAAAATGATAACAATAATTATCGCGATATAACTTTTCTCAATATAAATATAAGAAATGTTCGATAAATGTTCGATGTAATCGAGCATTCTCACACTTCTGCGTTCTAGTGACAGCCCCGGTGGCATTTTCTACTGCAAGGAAAGTGACACTACTCTGCCGTCACCACAAGTTTTTGGACATGATTAGAGAGGGAAGGGGCGAGAAGTAAAATGAGTCGCCAAATGTACTTTAGCAACGTCTGAAATGTGGAGTGATCTGTCCTCCTGTGACCAAGTGTAAATAACGAGATAAGTGGCGTAACTGTATTGGCCTACAGCGAACTCACTTCTATTTTAACATCCTACCAAGCTTTAGCTGCAATAAATCATGTCTGCTCCTCACAACTACAGCACTGTTACAGCGCCAAACAGTCATATTTTAGTATTAGTGCATTCCCAAGCAAAGAAAGTGAAAGAAAGAAGTGCATTCATGCAAGTTACAGCCCTGATTTAAACGAAAGTAAACTGAGGACGCTGTGTGGGGCATTGGAGAGTGAGAGAACACTAGGTTCCCAGGCTATCTGGTTTTAGCAGCTAGCTAACTTGAAGCAGCGCTCTGTCACTCGCACAACATGGCGAATTGATGTTACTCTAGATCAAACAAGACAAAAAAAGTTTAAACTGACCTGAAAGGAAGACGTTGTTTGTCTAGTGTGAGAAAATCACACTGCAGTTAAAACTTTTACACAGTGTGTCAGAGTGACATGGATGTGGTAGGAGTGATGGCAGTTAGGCAGTGTGATCCATCACTTACCTACCAAGCCAGATAATTTTTGCTGTTCATATTAAGCTGACGTTGTTGAGAAACTAAACAGTTTAGCACTTGTAGCCAGATAGCCTAGCACTCGTCACCAGACAGCTAAAATAATGTTTTCTTCCTTAAATTATGACTATTACAAAAATTGCAGCCGTGCTTTTCCAGCTGGTAGAAACAGCTAACCAGAAACTTTCTCCCTACTGTCCCCGACAGATTTGTGAAATGTTCCACTGTTTGGTGAGTGTTTGTCATGATCCGACCATAAAGGGTAGTTTAAAACAGTAACTGACCACCCAAGAGCAAAAATCATCCTTCAAACTTGAAAGAAATAATGATTTGACGTTTATCGTGATATGTATCGATATCGAACAATATGAATTTTTTTATCATGATAACATTTTTGGCCATATCGCCCAGCTCTACTGACTTACTGTTTATGATGTTACTTTGTTACTATGAAACATGACTGTCTTAGCACAGGCACGTCAAACTGGGGACCTTCGGACCAAAGCGCTGCAGAGATTAGCGTTTACCCTGATCTAATGCTCTGAATTCAGTTCATGAAGGCCTTATTCATTAGCTTAAGAGCTGAATCAGGTATGATTAATGAGACAGTGTGCATAAGAATTCAGTGTTTTGGACTGCAAGGACTGGAGCCTGACACACGCACCTTAACATATTCTACTGTTCGTTATCGGCCAAAACCAAGAGTTCAGAGTCAGAATTAGTATCAAGAAAAAGAAGTTGGATCGATGCATTTGACAACCCACCAATTCTGAAGTCAGAGGTGATCTTAGACATCTCCAGCATCAGGCTGGTGCCCAAGTTCTTGACGTTTTCCAGATCATCCTTCATGGAGTAGGACAGGTCCATAAGGTAGTACAGGTCTATAGGATAGTCCTCTGCTCTTTTGAACTTCAGGTCTATCGTCTGTGGTTCTCCTGCAGGAACAGAAGTGTAATGTCATTCATTTACTGCACACAGTTCATTTTTCAAATCTACATTTCTAACCTGAACAGTTTTAGCACTGCATCATATAAATGGGATTCAGTTGCAGGATTTCAAATTTACAGTGTAACACCTAACTCAGATTTCAAACACGTGTTTTAACAATACCAGATCTGAGGCTGAGGGAAAGTTTCTGTGGCTGGATCTGGGTGATGTCCTCAGGTTTGAGTTTCTCTCCTCCTTTCTTGCGGTTGGTGACAAGTTTGTTTCGGAGGATCTTCTGACTTCCTCGAGGGTTCTCGATCTTGGCTGCCACGCAACCTCTCTTCCGTAGAGACTCCAGGTCATCACAGCGGGCTGATGTGGGTTCACCCTGCTTCAGGAACTCCTGCGAGGAGAGGACAGTACAAAAAGGATAAGCTGGGCCTCATACAAGAGACTGAGCAGCATACAGAAATAAGACACTACTTGTCACAGTTTTTTAAACAGCACATGTAAATTATGTGGCCATTCTGTTATTATCAGCATCAGATGATGCTCTGTTTGGTAACACACAGTTTCCAAATATACCATTCACTCCTCCTCCTGTTACTCATATGTGGAAACTAAGTCTCAAAAGTGGCCCATTTCAAATTCATTGTTTTTGTAGATCATTTTATATTAAGACTAAGACTAAGATTAATTAAGACTACACCAGTTTATCACTGCCTATTCATATTGATATTTTAAGGAGTGTTTTAGCCCAGACTGCTTTTAGATAAGGCAGAATATAGGGCAGCCAGTCAGAAGAGAGGATATTTATATATTTAACTCTTAAAAGCACAGTAGCAAAAAACTGTTAAAGTTTAAAGAAATAAAAGGAGATTTAAAGGGAGAAAAATTAATTTTGGTATATAAACATGAAGAAAAAGTATATAAAAAATATAGTATAGCTGCTGTGATAATAATAATAATAATATGTAATTAATATTATCCAAATTTATAGGCGATACTGAATATCACAACCAGTGAACTTCAGCATCACTTACTGTGTAGTATTAGTAGTGTAGTACTTTACCAGTATATCTGGCTTCAGGTTTGTAATAGCATTGCTGCATTTCTCATGTCAGAATCTGACTCATTACGTCTGGTAAAGTGGTTAGTTGACTCAACAGCACTGAGCAGATTTTTTATGGAGTGCTGCAGATTCATGGAACAGGAGTAGCTGCGTCTGGGTTTCTCAATCCCACACTAAACCACACAGAACTGGAAAGGGCTGCTGGGACATTCACTTCAGCCACAACACCAAACACCTCAAGAATGGAGGAACGTAGTCAAAGCAGATACATTTCTGCTATTTGTTTTGAAATGGCAGCTCGACCAAAAAATCATTTTACATAGATTTTCCTGTATGTCAAATGTCAAGACATCTGAAGTTCCATCTTTAGTCTGCACTGGGCTGTGTTAAGTAATCTCAAACAGACAAAATATAAAAATGGTTAAAGACGTTGCATAGCTAAAAACAGAAGTAGGAGCCATTATGAAGCCTGAACTTTGTCTGTACTTTTGTTCATTTTTATAGATAGAAGTCCACATAAGTCATTTGAGATTGCTTAACAACTTGCTTGAAAAGTGTGGCATGTCTGTGACGATGTAGGTAAGCAGACTGCGCTCTGCTAACTGGTAGAATAGAAACATCCATTACTTGTCAGCTACATTAGCTTCATAACTCCAATGCAAACATTTCAGACACCAAAAATGGCTTATTCACTCCAATTTTGGTGCAATTGTGTACACTTTTTTCACATAATTTAACATTTCCTAATATGGCACCTGAGATAAGCTGCATAGGAAATTTACATTCTTACATTATTTTTTGTTTGTTTACTGAGTGCTCACAGCAGGATGGGGGATGATTTTATGAGAGGGTGTAGCTGTGTGATTAGTATTTGGCGAAAAGAAACAATAATCCAAATGTTTTGCTGTCTTAGCATTCAACGCACAAGTGGTGGAAACAAACATCACAAGTAGCCAGCATGAATGACTTCTTTGTCTTTTTTCTTTTTTAATTTATGACAAATTAATGTGACTAATTAGAGAAGTATAATAAGATTTTATTGCTGCTGTTGCCAAAGCAATGTCAATTTCAGAATATAAGTTTAAAAGTGTTAGATTTCTTTATTTTTGATGTTTTGATACATCTGTAGCAAAAGTCAGAGACCACCTGTCATATATCCACATCTTCAAAGTTCAGTCACAACTTGGTTGCATTTTCTGCTTCTCACAATCCAAGTAATCCCAAACATAGTTAATGATGTTGAAGACTGAGGATCAGAGTCTGGACTCTGGGGAGGTCAGTCCATTGTTCTCAAAACACAAACAGCAGCTTCTTTGTTTGATTTGCAGATTTTCTACTTTGTTGTTTTTGTTTTTTCTTTTTTTGTCTCTTTCTTTCTCTCAGTAAGGTCTTGACAGACACACATCCTTTCAGACTCACACTGTTGAGTTGTCTTCTCACAGTGGAAGGACAGACAGAAACATTTGTGGTATTTTTTCAGATCTGAAGCAGGAGTGGAGCTTCTTTTTTCTCAGCTGATGGTACTGATGGCGACAGTTTCGGTGGTCTACCAGTTCCTGCATGGTTGTTAGGAATCCTTTTTTCTCTACTTCTTTTGATAATATTTTGAGCTCCAGCTTTGGAAACTCCTGTTTTTTTCCACTTATTTTCTTTGACTCCCCCCTTCATTATGGGAGTGGACTGTCTTATATCTAATCATCTCAAAAAACTCCTGAAAAATGAATAACTAAATGAATGTTCTGACTGATATCAAATAAGTAAATACTGGCCTCTGACTTTGGCCAAAGTCTGTACAGGAAAGCCTGTTTACTTGGCGGCTGTTTTTGCAACACCGCCAGGAAGTTATATCCACCCATACGAGACCAGACTCCTCTCTCTCTGAATGGGGAGAGGCCAAAATACTCAAAACAAAAGGTCTAATTACAGTTTAAAAAACATCTGACAAAAACTTCATAAATAGTTTGTATCATCTGGCTCACAAAAATGTGATTTTCAGGTTGTTCTGGCTAATGTGATTATGCAGATCTCTACAACGAGGGGGGCTTTTCCTGCTAGTGCCACAGTGTAGTTCCCCGCAGGGTAACCAGCAAGACTGGCTCTTTTCACTAAAGGGCAAGAAAACAGACGCCATGTTGAGCGTTATGAGGTTATAACACCTCTGCTTTTACTGTAGCTCAAAATAACAATACTCCATTTTCAAGAGATAAAAAGAACAAATTAGTGAACAGGCGGCCTGTTTTCTCAGTCATGAACGTTATTCCTGACTGGCCTGTTTGTCTTTTTTTTACAATAACAAAAACAGAAAGAGTCAAATAAGCTTATACTGGCTCTACTCACTGTGTCCGTGCACCATCCACATTTAGCCCCCACTTGTATGCAGTCCCCGCAGGATTCCGCATTAGCCTTGATGCACTCATTCCCCTCTGCGGATAACAGAAGCAACAGAAACTCATCATGCAGGACAAAAAAAAAAAAACAAGTTGGCAATCAGAGCTGCCTCTCTCGCATCATTTCATTTGAAACTCTGTGGTCATCAGTAATTGGAGCCAGAGATGGACTCGTCCATGTTTTCCATTCTGTATTATGCTCCAATTCATCTTAGGTGGAGTTACTTCTGCATAATCACATCAGTACATTACACTGAAAGAGGGACTCGCTTTACAGATACGAAATGATTATATTAAATTACAATTTACTCATTTTGAGTTTGAATTAGATGAGAGAGCACAACTTCAGTAAAATGCTCTCCAGAGTTAATCACTTCAATTTAATATAGAAATGCAAAATGAAAGAGTCAGATCATGTTACCTGGCTGAGCGCTGCTGTAGCATATAACTCCTAACAATGTCGAAAGGAAAAGTAGTTTAAGTTCCATCTGAAATTGGAGAGACAAAGAAAAAAAAAACATTATACAGCGGCCATAAAACGCATCAAGATTAGCTCCAATATTCACACTATAGCAGCAAAAATGCATAATACATATCACTGATTTATAACCTGCTCAGTATTTAAAGGGTTTAGTTGCAAAATGCATTATAAACCATGATTTACATTAGTGGAAGAGGGTTGTACACATACAAAGATATTAATGCCATGTTATGATTAATAACACCTTTATTAGAGAAATAAGAAAGTGTTTTCCAATACAAGTTAACTCGCTCTACCCAAAATTGTCACAAATGAACACACAGCATTTTGGAATGAAGCTCTTCAAGCTCGTACAGAAAGCACACAAATAGCTTTGACACCCCAAATGACAGACTGTTTCCAGGTCATCTATGAGCCCTGTGATGTGTAGATATAAGCAGAGGTCATAAACCTCCACCAAGCAGCAGTGCTTTTCTATTCTGAGTCCCTGCAGCACAGAGGAACCGGAGTGGCTAATTTCACTTCTGCCTTTTCTCACATAGCATTCTAGGCCAAGAGTATCCAGCGGTCACTGGTTGTCAGGCAGTTTCCTAGTAGCGTTTTCCTCTGCCAGAAATAGTCACTTTCCCTTAGCACAGTGGTGTCACAAAAGTGGCTGATTTTCTTTTCTTGACAAATTAATTTGACAAATTAAGAACAGTAATTATATTATGTTATTATTGCCAAATTAATAGCAATTAATGAACATTGTAGAAGTTTAAAGTAGGGCAGTAACTAATATTAACATTTGTAATCAACTCATCTATAGAAAATTAATCAAGTAAATGATCATGTTTTTTAAAAGGCCCGGCAATAAAAATAGACATAACTTGTAATCTATTGAAGTACCTTACAGAGCCTTACAGAGATTCTACAATGAAGCTTTTAAAAGGACTTCATAAAAATATATCTTCACTGTTGGAGCAAAACCTTTTACCTTTAAGATGGTAACTTTACAGGAGAAAGAAAAAACATTCTCATTCACATAATTTTAAGGGGAGCAGGTGTTTTCAAACTACGTAAAAAAAATAAATACATAAATAAATAAACAAACAAAAATGTAGATTTTTTTGGTGAAATTCTCCAGTAACTTTGCACAATTAACACAGAATCACTGCCAATTCATTAAGAGGAGATAATCACAACAGCCCCATTTACCCCTGTTAAATGGCCAAGATCATGTAATTACTGAATAATAAGCGTTAGGGTGTAACAAATTTGAGATTTTAAAAGGTGTGTCCACCAAAGTCTCTACTTTTGAAACACTGATATGTTCATTTAAGCACCACTGAATGTTCTCTGGAAGCTACAGCTCAAAATCACAGTATTTCATTTCTTGCAACAAAATCAACCACATGTAGCAGGACATCTGAACACGTCCCTCTGCCATAAATAATTCAGGTCCACTTGGGTCAGAGACATCTGTTTACCGTTTATATCCTCTGTTATTCCCCTCCCCCAACACAAAAATACAACTGCAAGCCATCCCTCAGAGGACTCAGAGGATATTCAGGCCGCCTGACAGTTCAATACACAAATGGCTCTTCTTCCAGGTAAAGCAATATCGATTTCTCGGCGATGACTCAGGCCTATGATTTATTTGGAATATTACGCTCCTGCTCATCATATCAGAGTTTTAAGATGCAGCACTGCAGGTTGACATATAGCCCTGGATAGAAGTTTAGGCCTTGGGTACATTTCAGTTAGATTTTAATTTCAAAACTTTACGTTCACCTTTTATATCTGATTGAAACTGAATGTTACCATTACAAAACACTGTAGGAAGGGGCTGGATTTTTACTTTCAAAATCAAGCATTTACATATATTAAACCTCCAATTCAAGTTCTGTATCGTAAGAGATGCATTTCAGATTCCATCAGCATAACATTTCACAACACATTCAACCGAAACAATTGCCAACGGAGCAATGAATGCCTGCTATAAATGCACACCACACAATGGGAGGAGAGACCCACATTATAATGACAACAGGAGGGTGGCTAAACGCTGGTAGGCTTGTGGTACGTCAAAATTACATGGTATGTCTGAAGGCACAGGCATGAAGCAGGGCAGAAATGGCAGCTAGAGCTGGCTGGCGACACAGGAACCCTGAGTGTGAGAGGGCTGTGCCGGGTCAAACTGAGAACACACGCCTCCTTTACTCAACACAATGCATGTGGTTCACATTAAGACTCAATGAGTAGAGGTGAGGCAGCTCCAGAGGAATTCCACCCTATTACGCACCATAATCAGACACAAGAGAGTTACTGTTTTTAACACAGCAGCCACAGAGTGAGGCTTTTGCTACAAACCTATTGGAAAGAAAATTATATTTCACAGTCGGAAGCATGGCTCAATGAAATAAACTGAAAAGTTCTGTTCTAGTGTGGATTCTTATGTTCCAAACAAAACCATAAATTTGTGTTTGTAATTGTGATTATATTGTGCATTTGCATTTGTTAATGTGTTAATGTTTTCATTTTCAGTTTACTAGAGCATTCAACCATATTTAAAAGTACAATATTTGAAACCAAAGTGATTTAAAGTGTCTGATCTAATGCTCTAGCCTCAAGTTAATATGTTAGCCCCAATCAAACACACTAGCCACCATCTACCATATTAGTCATGATACAATACGACACGGTATGATACACTATGATATGATTTGATATAAAGCTGCGACATGACTATTTTCATAATTGATTAACCACAAAATGAATGTGATAAACCTCAACTTTTATGGGTTAAAACCACATTGAAAATATAGCTTGCTGACCTCTTAAACCTGCATGTTGGTCCAGACTTCGATTCCAGACTTTCATGACTACGTAACTCACATAACTTTACTTTGAAAAAAAAAGCTGATTTGAATGTACTTGATTCAAATGTGTACACTGGTTTCACATGAATGAAACATATTACACCAACACCATTACTCTCTTTCATTTTGCTTACTTTTGCCAAAGACAGTGTTGATGTATTTTATTCATGTGCAACTGATGTGCACATTTGACTTAAGTAATTATAGGGCAACCCTTTTTTCAATGTAATTTTATAGTAGTTACTATAAATCAATAATACATCTGTGCTGAATAGTAAATCTGCTGTTTCTAAACTCACCTTTTGACATTTTCGACATATTTAATTTTATGTGGCCATATTTATTTTTACAGGTAATGACCAGTCCTTGTACCTGTAAGGTCTAAAGTGCAGGAGTTACATTCTGTGTGCATGTCTGTGTTGAGTGTTAAGTTGATGTATTGCTCTGTGCCTGTTATACACAGAGGCAGACAGCCTGTCGGGCAGTAGGACCAGATTAGATCATGCCTGTGTGGCAACATCCTCTTTGAGGTCCACACTTACACGGTTACTTTCTGACATCACTCTGCTGCTATTCCTATCGCATACTGAGAACACAGTAGGTGTAAATACGTACTGTCCTATCAGCACTGCACCAAAACTAGCGGAAAATGACCTAACTTGTGTAAGTGGTCAGGAGGGCAAAGTGATAAGTTAACTGAACTGTTTCAAAACATTTGCATGTGACATTCAAGCTCTGAAATGACCCATTTGGGCCTGAAGGAAAACTTACAGTATGTCTTCTAACTGAATGTGGCCAAGTAAACAGCAGCTAATCAAGACCAGCTTAAATGAAAGCCAAACCTGAACTAAGAGTTATGAGATTGAACCATGCCTGTAAAACACCAGCAAGTCAACTTCAGGAAAAAAAGAGAGAGAAACGTCTGTTTCTGTTTCAGTGCAGTTTAACAGCTGGAGAGAGGAATGCAGTGGAAATTCTCCTCTGAGAACAACATGGCCAGCTACCTCTCAGCGTAACAGCATGGTACAAGATGCATATGGAGTCTTTCTGAGACGGGGGGATTTTCTAAAGAAAGAAAAATCGCACAAAATTGTAATGGAAATACTGGAGCATAACAGACCTTAGTTTCTTCACCTTCTGCTTATCTTCTTTATTGGTTGAACAATTACCAGAACATCTTAGCATGCAATTAACAACATTAGCACTGTTTGTGTGGACAAAATCAAGGAAAACTGAGCACTGAATATCTTTAAAGATCATAAAACAGAGCTAGTCTACACAGAGAAAATGGTTCATGATTTTATTGCATACAAAAAAATGTGTTACATCAAGAGAACTGCTTTGTTTAAAGGTGCATGAGTCAAAAATTTAAAATACTCAACTTCTGGAGGTTAAATAGGTGAATTACAAAAATACTGGAATGATTTTTTTACTCTTTGGATCTGCTTCCCATTCATCAACACAAATGCGCCCATAGAGTCAACAGTGACCAGTGAGTTGGTTTAGAGTCTGTCAGCATTATCAAGCACTGTTATAACTTCACTTTCTATTGATAAGAAAGGCTGTTTATTAAGGATACTGCCTTAGGCTGCATTCAGACGGTGGAACATATTCTGCATAGAATCTTTCTAAACCACAAGAAAATGGCCTGTGACAAGTTCTGCAAAGCAGAGAAGGTGTGGAGTAGATTTTTATGGGTAGTGCTGAGGGTTAGACACCACACTAAATGGATAGACTCAAGAAACTAGTGTCATTTTGGAAGAGAAAAACAGGAAGAAAACGTCCATCAGGTTTGGTTGCTCCCAATCAGCCCATGTGAATATTAGCAAACTTACCAAGTGCCTTAAACACCACAACCATCAAAGAAACACAAGATTGTATTTCTACACTGAAGTAAACCAAGCTATGGTAGTGAGGGGTGCTCCTCGTCTATTTTCAATGATTTTTTAGCAAACCTCAGTGATAACAATGTCCAGTTCAACGTTAACCCGTCCTCTTTTTTGATTGGTTTCCTTATGAAATGTGACATATGAGGAGCAAAGCATTTCTGGTGAAGTTGAACTTTTTTCAACTCTATCTGCAAAGATCTGCAGCAGAAAATTCTGTTATGCGCAGATTTGGATGCAGTTGATTAGTATTACATACA